ATGATTATGGTTCAAACCGTAGTAACACTCATTCCTTCTGCATCAGACACCTTCTCAGTTCCTGCTTCCTCTCACTAGGCAGGAAAAAAAATCCCCATTTTTTCCTCAGAAGCTTTATTATAACATTTGTGCTCTGATACTGCGCCTTACAACTATCACATCATCACAAACCCCCAAGAGATGTCTACTGTATTAAGTACAGAGAGGCTTTCAGCAATGATTGCTATCTGTATGGATTCACGGCAAGTCATTTCCTCATTTGCACTGAAAACTGCAGAATTTCTTCCTCTTTCACAGAGTGTAGGTTTGGTGGGGAAGGTTATCATGATACCTGCTATCAGGGTTTGTACAGGGCTATTACTCAAAGCAATAAAACGTCGTAAATAACACTTAGATTCAATTTTGAACTATGTTCGTTAGCTTTGCTGTGATGCGTCGTAGAAATGCTGGTTGAGCCAGGAGAAGGGGCTGGGTTTTGGGTGCACAGATAAATATCTGTTTAGAAATCCCCAAATCAGGTTTATACAATGCCTAATGCCTTCAGGGAACTATAAGTATTTTGGAAATAAACGTGTAGCTTTTCCCTGACAATGAAATTATTCAGTTGAAATTCTTTCTGTGTCTACCTCGAAAACAAAAATGAACCTCTTTTGGCTGACAATTGCTGTAWAATGAAAGCTATTTTTGTTTGCAACTGAGCTAGTGAGCTGCGAGGTACTTCAGGAAACATAGACAACTTTCAAGAAATATAATAGTGATGATGCAGATGTTAAGTCCTTTGCAGGCTGAATTCAGCCCAGTTCATCGGATTTCGCTAGGCTTCCTGCTGGTCTGCCAAGGTTGCTGGATTTATCGAGGCTTCCCCTTATTCATGTGATAGATAAAGTCTGTAAAAATAACAATAGTAAATAAATTCCCTTAAGGGGAACTTAAATTTTCCTTTGCCTCTCTTAAAAAACAGAGCCATGACAGATTAATAATTCAATACTGATGGAACCAGAGAGAACATCAGACCAGGAGCCTTTCCAAAAGGAGTCATCTTCTGCTTCAGGACTCCGTGTTTTATTCACCATTTATGTAAATAGAAAAATAATCCTGGAAGCACCCAGTCCTCACCCAGTGCTCCAGGTGAATATTGCCATGCTGGAAGTGTCACCTGAGTTTCTCTTTGCYTCCTCTGTGTGCTGGGCTCCTTTCAGTGGCATTTCCAATACGCAGTTGGTTCCCAATGATGAGGAGTTGTACTTTGGTCCTTTGTGAGTTTTTCTTTCAGTTGATCACTGGGAAAAGTCTCCTGTCATTTCCATGTCAAAGAGGAAAGCTTGGGCGGCAGGAATATCATCCATGTGCTCTGCTCCCTGTGGGAATGTGGATTTCTACCAAGGGGTTCAGGAGTGCTGCTGAATTTGACTCCTGGGATTCCTGAGCCCAAGTTCCTCACTGATAACAGCTAAACTGTGGGGCTTTTACAGGGCTACAGCAGGAACAGATTGGGTTTTGGCCACCTACTTCATATCATATGGCATAGAATYTGTGATGCTGACCAAAATTTGACCCAATTAGACAACTTTTGCCTAACTAAGATATTGGTTCTAATATGAGGTAAAGTAACTTATTACTCAACTTATCCAGAAAGTATCATGCTCTAATTTATAATCAAAACATAGTTCATTTATATAACCTCACAATGAAATATGTGTTTTGTGGAGGTCCTGCAGTCTTCTATTTCCACCAAATTCATGCAAATTCTTCCAACTCTGCACTATTCAAGTGCTTAAAGTAACTTTGGCCCACCCAGAATATTCCTGCAGCCCTCTCCGAAGCTACATTTTTGGTTTGGGTGCCAACTTCGTGCCCACAGCTTTGTTCTTCTGTGGTTTCCTTCACATAAGGACCTCAGAAGTGTCATAGCCAGCAGACGGTCCATGGGAAGCTCTGTGTATCCCTGACAGTCCCTGACACTTGTCCCTCTGCCTCCATTAATCATTATTTCTCCTGCATGAACTGACTGCTGCTTCTGGCAGAAATTAACGGCTCCTTGGTGTAGTATAAAGACRATGTTTGTTACTGGTGTAGTGAAATAACAGATCTTGTGAAGCTCTGAGAAAAGCCTGAGCTTAACCTGCTTAACCGAAAGCACAACTCYCTGAGCAAATAAAGCCATTGCAAGTTGTGAAGCTTTAAAAGTTGTTCAGTCTTGTATACAATGTAATTAAAAATGGACCTTTTAAAAGCTTATATATCTATACATATATATATTTTTAACAATGCCTTATTTCCTAACTTATTTTTATCAGACTCCCCTCTGCAGTCTGGTCTAAACTTGGGCATTTCTCACTGTTCTTGCCGATTTTCAGGAAGATTTGCTTTTTAATGTCTCAAAAACAGGTGAGGACACAGTAGAGACTGARTTAATTCAGCTCTACATTTAATTGAGCTCCATTCCTGATTCTCCGTGTTCGATGTTGCAGTTGAGATTCGAGATGTGTTCCTTTTGGGATTCTATGCAGACTAATGAAAATACACTCACCAAGGAAACCTGCTGCTTAACTCTCTTGCAAGGCCTTTTTTTTTGGTGTTTTTAGCCTCCCTGGCTACATGTGAGACTGTTGTGGCTCGGTACAGCCAGGCAGCCGTATTTTTAGCAATTTTAATAATATTRCATTTCCAGAGCTTGCTTGCACACCTGGGCAAATGCATAATCACGGAGAGGGCAAGATCATCAAATATCATCGTTCATTAAAAAAAAAAAGTCCTTGAGAGCGGTGACATTCATCCGTATAGAGATGGCTGGTGGCAGGAGAGCCATGGAGCTGCATATGGATGATTGATTTTCTATCTTTAAGGGCTGGCTAGGGAAAAAAAGAGCCATTCCCATTGTACTCATAGGACGCAGTAAACTTGACTAAATTTRCAAAGAGTTCTACAAATGCAAGCGGTGCTTCTGAGCCACCTCCAAATTACTGCAGTGCAACTTGGAAAGGCTTTCTTTTTAACAGTATGGATTGAAGTTTCTCCTTTGGAAAATAAAGATTGAATTTTAAGGTTAGATTTGTTATGAGGAAAATGCAAAACTCAATTACTTTTCTTATTATTAAAGGCAGATCCCTGTAAAACCCCRTCCATGTTAATCTTTTATATTTTTTCTTCTGCTTTTGACATCTTATGAGACCCGCACGTACTGGCATTGAAATGAATAATTTATGCTCAAGTCCTGGAAGAAAGTTGTAATCATCATGCATTGGTTTCCTTCTTACAATGGTTTTAACAGCCCCATTCCACGTTTGGGAGCATTTAATGTCATCTTTGCTAATTAAAGGAGGACAGACATGCCAGGCAGGTTCTCTTATAGCACCTGATGCTGAAGCAAAGCATTATTAATTAACTAGCCCTGCCTTGGCTGCAAGAACAGCACCAATTCTCAGCTCAAAGTGTCTCTGCAATCCGCCTGTAATTCCGGCCCTAGCTGCCATTGGTAGCTGGCCCTGATAAGGGCACACATAAAGCTTGGGCTGGAAGTCAAGCCTAGCGACCAGGACCTGCGGATGACGGGCACCACGGGCCTGTAAGGTACGTAATTTCTCTGGCTGGCTTCAAATAATATTCCACTTTTCCCAGAATGAGTATTACTCCTTCGARTTGCTGGGGAATGTTCAGTGTCTAAGGGAACTCCAGGGAGGAACAACTGGAGTGTCATTGAAAAGAGCACTGAGAAGAGCAGCATTTAAAACATATTCTTTTCAGTATAACAACGCGATTGCAGATTTTAAGTACCATATTTCCTAAGAGAGTAACAACAGTTACAGTGTTAAAAGGGGATACAAACCTTGCTATTTATGGGAAACATATGAATAGTATTATTTATTAATGTTGCTCTATTAGTCACCACAATGCAAAGTACTTTTGCCTAGTTACTAGCTTTACTCTTCTGTAGTCTATTTTTATTATTATTATTGCTGTTATTATTATTATTATTATTATTATTATTATTATTGCTATTATTATTGCTTTTACTATGCATTCATCCACTCTCTCTGCTGGCCATGGGATTTCTTGAAGGAGAGCACAGCAGGGGCAATAAGGAGATGAGGATGTGCAACAGATTTAAACCATTCTACTAAAACAAAGCTTTTTTAAAGGTTTTCTTTTTTCCCTTCTGGATTATTGTCACAACATATGAAAGTGTTTTGATATGCAGAAATTTTTTTTTCCCTCTAAATTTAAACTAATCAGCACTAAATTAGTCATGCTTAAGGCCATTCCACAAGAGTCCTTAACCCAATGAAAAGCGCAGCTATTGCTGCCTATATAGATTGACAGGGGCACTGGAGATGCCTTTTGATGAGTTTCACCCCTGGTGTCCTGTCAAACATTAACGGTGCCGCATTGCCCCGCTCCCGACTTGGCCGTCGCTCCGGGTCCTGCATGGGTGCCGGACACCCCAGCGGTGCCAAAGCACTCGCCGTGATGCTGAGCGTGGCCAGGGGGAACGTTTCTGAGGTCTGTGCCAACGGAGAAAAGACAATCAGAGCGGGAGTGCAGTAATGAAAGCACCAAAGAGGGAAAAACCATGAGTTTTGCACTGCTGGTTAAGGCACTAATTTGTCCCAAATAATTTTACCTGTGATCTGACTATCTGTATTTTTTTTTTATTTAAATCAACGTCCTGCTTTATAAAACAGGAGTTAGGTTTTAGTTGACTTGGAGGAGGAAGGAAAGCTTGCAAAACCACAAAATAGGGGATTTGTTTCAGTAAAATGTAAGAATCATCGTAACTGAACTTGGATGAATTCTCTTTTTTTTKTGTGTGTGTGTGCATGCATATCTACACAAAGTTAGCAGAGAGCAAAATAAATTCCTCAGTAGTTGGGCAGAGGCGAAATAACGTAGCATAACAAGCTAAGGATCATCCCAAATGTGGGAATTATGGTCCCAAAGGAGCTGTTTGATTTTTCGCTCTCCGGTATTGGAGGATATGCTTTAAAGCTGCCTGTTCCTAGATGGGGAAGAGGAAGTTCAGCGGCTTGGAGGTGACCCTCATCGCCCTGTTCTGCCTGGTGGTCATCGTGGCCTGCGTCCTCATCGCCCTGCTAGCCACCGGCCAGTCAGGAGTCAAAAGTCCCCGTAAGTACCATGAAATGGCCCTCAGTTCTCTAAAATAGCCACAAATCCACCCAGGAGCTGGTGGCATGGGACTTTGCAAGGGGCTGGATGTCCAGGCGTGGAGGACCGTAAAAGTTTCCCAGTAAAACCCAGGGTTTTGCTGTGGCTACCAGTGTCACGTACTCTACTTTTGCCATTAGCAAAGGGTGAGTGCGGTCACTAATGTGAGCAGTGCTATCTGGTATCAATAGGAGGAATAAACAGAGGGAGCCATAATTCAGGGTCATAAAATACTTCTTTCCCTTCCTCCCAACACTGCACTTCATTTCGGTCTGTTTTCTAAGCATAGGGCTAGTAGGATGGCAGTATTTCTTCCTAGAGGATAACTATCCAGAACTGGTCATATTGCATGGGAAAATAGCCCTGTGTCCATAAAAGCTGCAACCRTTTCCTGCTAATGCATTGGATGAAAAACCACTCGTCTTTCAGCAATGCTAATGCAGAGCACCCTGCTTTACATCCTGCTTCCTACGAGCAAACATCTGCATGTGGAGGTTGAAGCAAACAGCTCGCAGGTGAAAATAGTGGTAAAACTGGAAAAAAAAATGTTAATACAAAGCAAACACTTGGGCACAGAATTGCTCGTGTGAACTAACATCTGTGTGCTTGCTGCCTGTTTCAATCTTGGTGGCTGAGCAAAAAATAGATGTGCCTATAGCGTTTAAAATGCAAAGATGCTTGTATTTGTGTGCATCTCAGCCCAAGACAGGATTTTCAGGCATCATAGTTCTCCCATCATTGGAAGCAACAGCCCTCAGGCATCCTCGTGTGAGCCGAAGCTGCTAGGAGGTCACCTTAAATTTAGTCCTGCAAACCTGAAATAAAACGGAAAATCTTGCTGGCCTTTGGATGCTTTTATCCAATGCTCCGATGCAAATACCGGTGGGTGAACTGTGTTGCAGGAGGAGGGACACACGTAAAAACAATAGTTCAATACCATATAATAAAGAAAAAGACTTTCCAGTTTYCATTTGATGTACATAATTAGCAGAAAGTAAATTGAGTTAGAGGACTTACTTAGAACTAGCTTATTGCAATGTTCAAAAATAAAATGAAAAGCATCACCTGTATGCTTAAAAAAGTGAAGCTTTCCTATCTTTATCGGGATTAGTCATGTGCAGTCTTTAAAGGTAAGAGAAATTCCACAGCAATATTTTGGGCTTTTTTAAATTAGTATTAGTGGCTGCATGGCTTCAAGGTTGTGAGAGACAGGCTGCAAAAATAGCTAATGACTTAAAAACTAATGAAGATATTCCTATAATTTGGGGATACTGATGATAACCCATGAATTTACTTCCCCAGAGGAATTTACTCCACAATGTCCAGTCGTAGCATCGGCAGAGAGGATTGACTGCATCCCGGATCGAGTAGCAACAAAGGTCTGGAAACATTATAGACAGAATTATAAAATAGGCATTATCCCATAAAGCCTTGTATTTATTTATGAAAACATAACTCGTCTTTACCACATCTGCTTTATTTATTTATTTATTTATTTATTTATTTATTTAATCTCTGAATGCTTGAATATTTGCAGAGAAACATAGCCCATTATTACTAATTTCAGCCCATTAAGAAGAGATTTGCCTTTTTTTTTAATGTCTGCTGTAATCATTTGCCTTCAGAGGTTGAAGGCCACCACCAAAGTCCATCCCATCAATCCTCCCTTGAGATAAGTGGGAACCAAATTAAACGTTTTGAAAAATTCATTCTCTATTTTTGATAGCTTTACTAAAATGGGGCTTTGTGGAACTGCCAAATATTAACATTTATAGTGAGGAATATCCTAGACTTAGCAAGTCAGGATGCACGTTTACAAGCCGGAACATCTTGTGCAGCATGGTAAGGTGCATCCTTCTCATCTCCAGGATCTGGAGGGAGACATTGCTTTAGTGTGGCCATGCATCACTCATCTGGAGCAAAAGCTGCTCTGTGGSTGGAAATATGGTTCGTGCCTTTCCCTTTGCACTCCAGATTGATGGCCTACATGTGCCTAGCACCGAGAGTTATTCAGAAGTTTAATATTTTGGCCTGCTTTTGTTCCTCGATGTGTTTCCAGGCTCTTTCCATTCCAGTGTGGATTGCACATCAGTGGCTCTGCTGTAGCCCAGGATCCCACTCATTTCTCCACTCACTCCTATACACGTTTTCTCCTGCAAAMCTTTTGCTTGTCCCTCTTTAGGCTTATTTTTAATACTGCCTGAGGCAGGGCTATGAAAACAACAGATACCTGCTTAGGAAAGAAGATAACTCKTCTGCAGTGGTTTGCAGTGCAAACTTGCAGGATAAACAGCAGTTGGGAAAATTATGATTTACCTAAGCCCTTCTAGTAGGTCGGTTAGTGCTTGTCTAGACTATTTCTTTTCCCTTCATTCAAAACATCCTAAAATAAGCCAGAAAATGAGCTTTCATAAGTAGAATTGCACAGGGTGGAAGTGCAGGAGGAAAATAAATATTTATTAGCCATTTGCAGGTTTGCGGAAGATAGAAACTCTGAAAGAAAGGGGGCATTTATTAACTCTTCCCTACAGGGGCAAACTGTAGGAAACTTCGCTTAGACAGGAGGAACATGCCAATAAAAATTCCTTCAAAGGGTTTTTTTGTTTTCYTCCCTTTTTTTTTCCAGCAACGCTCTGCTGGAGCAGGTGTCTCTGGTTCACATAAAGGGAATATTGCAGTTAAGCGCAAGGACGAGCTGCAGCCCTAGCCCTGGGTGCCGCGAACAAAGTCCAGGAGCTGTCCCACCACGCGTGCTGCCATAAACCCTATCTCTAATCACGTTTCAGCCTTCTCTCTCTGACTTTATGGGTATCTATCACTCTGCTATTATAGCTCCGAGGCTGTGGCCAGCTTTCGTCTTTATTTATGTTACATGATAGCTTTTATAGTGGCCTCTCCAGCACTCTTGGGATGAACTCTAGTCCCTCCTCAGTGGTGAGGGGTCTCCCACCCTACGTGTGTGCATGTTCCTCTGCCTTGAGCTTAAMTGCGCTGTGGTGGCTTAGAAACCTCCTGGAAATGGGGATATCTGGAAAAACATGATTTCTGCTGAAAAATGTTCAGGGAGTATTCGTTTGAAATAGCTGGAAAATGGAAAAGCCTGCCTATGAAGCAGGATACTTCAAATCTCAGGCTTTGGGATATTAACTGTTGGTCAAACTGTTCTACTTTGCATGGGATATTTAGCTAGTTGCTGATCTAGGAAGAGGTGATAACGTTGCAGTTAGGATAATCCCCAGCATTTGAGGGAAAGGGAGGGAAGAGCTGAGTTGTGCAAGACCTAGTCATTAATGCAACAAGAGGACTTCAGGAGAGTGCCCCAGGAACGGGTGTTTCTTAAGCTCTCTGGAAGAGCTTATCGCTTAAGATACAGATTGTAGCCCAACTATATCTCTTCTAGTGGAAACTGGAAAGGTGGGGAGTGGGCATGGGTGTTTCACAGTGTACTGATCTGTGAATGTTTGAGGGGAAAAYGAGTCACTGGTATCTTCTGTACAACCATTCTGCAGCATCTCCACCCTGTGTCCCCCAGGCTGGAAGTGATTGTCGCCAGGGCCAAAGCCCCAGCTGTAATACCCTGCAATATATCTAAAAATAAACCAAAAATATTCCATTTCCATCACAGATGGACCAAGGCAAAAGCTTTGGCAAAAACATTTTTTTTTGCAAAAACTTCAAGAGCTGCTGTGAGCTGGCAGGTGAAGGCCAAGGTCCTGGAGATCTGCAGGTGGACTTGGCACCTGTGATCACCCATGGATGGAGACAGCCCTTTGCTCCCAGTGAAGCCTCTTACGTTGCTGCTGCCCCTTGACCCTGGTCACAAGTTATTTCTGTAACAAGTGACCATGTGGGGACATTTACAAGTGATATATTACCCTAAATCTTACCCGTAGAGGTAAAGCTCACACAAAGAATGTGTGAACCGGTTAATATCTAACCACAAAGCAAGGGCACTCTAGTTTACCAGCCATGGGGTAAAGGTTGGTCCCATTGCCCTGATATATGTTTTTTAAGCAATAGATGTCATTACTTGAAGGAAGTAGAAAAAAAAAATGAAAACATTGATTTATATTTGGTTGAAACTATGCTATTTGGAAGTGTTTTTAGCCTTTATGATATGGCAACATCAGGTTAAAATGTGTATTATACCTATACCTAAATGTGTATTATAGATAATCAATGGAGAACATTGAAGGAAATTATTGCTTTGCTTAATAATGCAAATTATTATTTTGTAACTACTGAACTATTTAAACTATGTTTTAAACTATTATTAAAGTGTAATAACCATAACTTCCATCTGCTCTGTGCTGGGTGACTCTGGGTCAGATTGTACCATATCTGCCACAGCTCACATGATTCAATGACTTTGTAAAGAGTTTCATTTTCCCTGCAGATCTTGTGATTTTGAGAAAGAACAAATGCCCCAAATCCTTACTTTTTCCCAGYGCCAATAAGGAAGCTTCTACTCTAAAACCAGAAAACAACTTTCTGTTTATTCTTTGCTGACACATTCATCTGATTGATAGACTTTTCACAGAAGGGGTTGATGTGACTGCAAAGATGACACAGATTCCTGGGGTAAAATGCTGCTCTTGTGCATTTGGATTATCATAATGGAAGGAATGATTTGTGTACGATGCTCTCCTTTGTCCCTTTCTCACCCCAGAGCCTCTGCACCCTGCGTGGCTGTTGTTGGAGCCCGCAGAGTGACACCAGCGTGCCCTGGTGCTACTTCTCTTCCAACCATGGGTACCGAGTGGACGGATCCATACGGACAACCCCGGCAGGTAAGGGCAAGCCCAGCTCCCAGCCCACGGCACCCGGTGTCCCATCCAACGCGCTGACGCTGCAACTGGTGGTTTTCTCCCCAAGGGTTTCAGGCTACATTGACAAGGTTGTCATCACCGTCCCTCTTTGGAAATGATATTAACACTGTGCTCCTCACCGGAGAGAATCAGACACAGAATCGCTTCCACTTCAAGGTTATTTTTGTTGTTGTTGTTTTGTGTTGTGTTGTGTATGTATATATATATATATATATATATATATATATATATAAAAGGTTTGGGAAATCAACTGTGCAAATTCTGGTTAATGCAGAACTCAATGGGAAAAATCCTCTCAGATCAAGTGATAAAGAAAATATCCTAATAGAGGGATAAACAAAGGGGCTGCATAGTTTTACAAAGTCTTAATTCCACCATTTATTGACTTTGACCCTTGGCTGTCTTAATGATGTTTTCACCWTTTTTTTTTTTTTTTTTTTTTTTTGGCTGTTCATGCTGAAAGACATAAGAACTAGATATTAATTTCTAATTTCTAATATGTGCAGATCACTGATCCTAATGCACAGAGATTTGAAGTCCCCCATGAGCACGTGAGACCTTTTGAAGGATCTGCGGCCTCCAACTTAAAGTACAAAGTTGACATTAAGCACAATCCCTTTGGCATCATGGTGACCAGAGTGAGCAATGGGAAAGTCCTGTAAGTAACTTTGGTGCTTTTGATGAATAACACTGGCATGATTTGTTTTCTCTAAGTTTTCCTGTTGAGCATGACTGATATATGGCCAAGAGAGCATATATGTGGACATGTAATCTGCCTCTTTTCTTCTGAATAGTGAACATTTTGGAAAAACTGTGTTGAGGGCCCCCAAAATATCTSTTGCGGCATAGAGAGCTCTGGCTAATTGGTTTTAGGCCAAATGTAGTCTGGCTCTGGCCATACTAGACCTTTGTCCTCTATCCTCTTAMTGCCAGGGAAAATCTCCACGGATGCTTTCTTCGATCAGTTCAGGAAATCCTTAAATATTGACTGATTTCATCCACTTCATTTCCTACCGATAACTAAGCAGGACATGTCTACTTTGCAACTCACTGTCCAGCTTTCTGACCTGCCTGAAGGGGGAAGAGCTGGAAGTAATATGTTCCTTCAATCAATCAAGGCAAGATTGCCCATCACACTGCTAGGAGGAGTGGGATTGACGTGAACTCGTCACATTCAATTAACTAGCAATTACTTTTGCACTGTTATTAGTATCGTTTACCTAAAACACTCTGTAATGATTGATTTGCAATTATAGAGTTCAGTCTATAGAAGAACTTGGTATTCAGCAGTCTATGACTGATTAAATAGGTGTATGGAGGAGAGAATAAGCAATCTGGTTCAATAGGACCAGCTTGACCAGGGCTCTGATAGACTGCTTATAATGTCCTTAGATCTTTATTTAATTTGATAAAAACAGATGCGTTTTATGCCTTAAAAGATAAAAAAAAAAACACAGATATGTTTGGCAGTAGCTTTGTGAGTATCTAAAAACAAGGTAAGAGGATAAAAGTAGGCCCTCATATGTAAACCCTTGATAAATTTATTTACACAGGATGAGCCCCCTTCCCCAACAACAAACACTTCCAAAGAAAAGGGAGATTCCTTGCACAAGAAAAATGAGAATCAATATGTTATTGTAATTAATTGCAGAAGTCATAATTATCCAAATAGCTGTAGAACCTAATTCCATCATCATATGTTACCCTAGAATCTTCCCCCAGATTTTAACACTCTGATACACATGTGACCATCAACATTTGAAAGTAAACAGCAAAAATTCACAGTTTCATAGAAAGTATAAATTCTTTTCTTCTTCCCCACCAAAAATATCTAGCCTTAGCTCTTCTGTGAGCAGATGGGCAAGACAGTTCTTGGAAACATTAAAACTGAGCAAAAGTACATTAGATGATTTGACCCCCAAAACTTCTTTTTTTCTTTAATTATGTAAAGAAAAACAAAGAAAAAGAAGTAAAATGGATGGATTATAATTTTAGAAAGCCCTAAATCCTCTGCTTTTGTGGCTTGTTTTTGCATTTTTTTGCAATTGCTAACACACTTGGTATTTGCTTTAAAGACTTATTCTAGTAATAATAATGTATTTATAGTGAGCAATATAGATATATATAATGCAGTAATGCAAATACAGATACAGTAAACTAATCCATTCAGAGTGATAAAATCTCATTAAAATTAACGCAGGTGTGTTTGTATAAATTTAGGAGAATTTATATGACTCTCTTTTGCAGAGCTAACGTCTTCTAGGTTGTTAAATTAGTCACAAATATTATACAAAACTCAAATTGTAAAAATGGTTTCAATTAAAAATGCACAAAATGAGTAGCATATTGCTTTGGAACTGTGCATGACATTGAAACATTCCAGGTAGCACTTGCTTGCCCACTCCTAGACAGTCATTTTCTCTGCTTTTGGTGAGAGACTGTGTTCCTCTAGATCCCCATAAGCCTTCAGCTTAATAAAGCTGAAGATAACCTTCAAATCTGAGGATCAGCTTCGTTCCAATTGCTTTGAGCTTTAAATCTGGTTTAACTCATAATTGCATTCTATTTATGACTGTTTCATTTTAAAAAATGATGATTGAGGGGAAAATAAAACTACTTCTGGGTAGGAGTCAATTTTAATGCATTTCTCAATGGGGAATGCTAAAATTCTTAGGGAAAAACAGAGGAAAACTAACATCGATAAGTTCAAAATTAATGTCATTAAGTGTTTGGATTGATAGGAACTTTTTTTCTGTAATTTGTCATTTTATAAGGAAAAACAGAATAAATATTTCAAACTTCTTTCTTTTTTTTTTTTTTTTTTAAGTAAAGTTCCTCTGCAGCTGGCGAAGCCAATAAGGAGAGCAGCTTGTCCCATGCTAACGTCTCCACCAGGTCTCTAGTTCTGTCTGAAAAAACAAAGAAGGAAATTAGCTTTTTTCTTAAGTATATAAAGTTCTCCTAATCCAGAAGATTAGGAACTTGTCAGTGATGAAAGGGATTGCTGAAAGGTACAAAATTAAATTAACAGAAGATGCTTTATTAATAAAATTGGCTTTTACTATGTGCTTCGCTAAGACATGGAAACGAGTAATATTGATTTCCCTCTTGTTCCGTTTGGACAAACATATATTGAAAAAGGCTCTATATCTGTTTTCAACACCACCAATTTCCTGTTCCTAAAGTTAAAACCTCAGCAGTTGATTTATGCAAAGTTTCCCATGTAAAATATGATAGCCGTCTCCTGGGATTGGGCATGCTAAGGATTAAATAATTGCTGTAATCCATCCTCAAAGAGGCTCTTACCTCCTCTCCTGGTTTGCTGCAGCAGGGAGAGAAGACCAGTATGAGGCCATTAAGTTGCCAGTAATTACGAAAAATCTGATGAAAAGTCTATTATTTCTCTATTTCTTTCCATACATGGAAATCTTCCATCTTTGCAGCTCTGGTGCCTGGAGTCATGGGGAGACAACCCTGAAAAAAGCTCAGCCAAGATGTTTCTGCCCAACTTGCACCCAACCCAGCTCCATCAAGAACCTACTCCGCTCTAACAAAGAGGAGCAATTATTGCTAAAATGTTTTTTTCTTTTTTGATTTTTATTTCTTGATCAGGTTTGATACCACCATCGGGCCACTGCAGTACGCCGACCAGTACTTGCAGCTCTCCATCAAACTGCCCAGCATCAACATCTACGGTGTGGGCGAGCACGTGCACAAGCAGTACCGGCACGACGTCAACTGGAAAACCTGGCCCATGTTCAGCAGGGACATCGGCACCTCCGGGGTAAGGGCTCCTGTCATCCCGTGCACATCAGTTTGGGAATCCAGAAACGCTGTGCAGCAGACACGTTAATAACATCCATTGAGTTTCTCCCCAAAGACTTGTCAGGCGCCGCATGTTCCTGCTAAAAGCTGGATGCTGCTGATGAAAGTTTCTCTGAGGAATACGTTTTTACAAATGTTTTGATTTTTTTCTTCCCGATGCTCGTGTAAAGTGTTGAAAATCASTTGATAAACACTAATATATGAGTTTCTTCGGTTCCCACCAACACATAAAATAAATAACAACACGTTTGAATGCATCGCTGTGCACAGCGCGCAGTACGTGCGCTTGCAGATAACAGCTCTGGAGTCCCACAAATAACAGCACAATTCCACTTAACAGCTGTTTCCCTACAAGATAAAATATGTCTGTCAGCAGGTATTTGTTTTGAGCCTTCATGACKGTCTTCTTCAAAAATGAATTCCTGGGTACCCACTTTCCAGTGCTTATAAAAGGAGTCTTGCATGTGTACAGAGACTTGCATAGGTTTTGATCCAAATTGCTCCCAAGCAAGCAAGCAGTGATAAACCACATGGAAAAAGAGCACTTTTCATTTTCATTCCCTCTGGGGATTTGATTTCCCCATGGGGATTTGGTAGGTAATTGTAGAGACGGCAACTCCATCCTATATGTAGAGATGGCAACTCAGGGTGCAACTTGGACCAGTGAAATGCTTGAAGCTCAGTTTTGTTTTCAGAACTGAAATCTAAATTAGCTCGCATTTGTCTTGCTATAAACAAGCACTATTGTAGAAATCATCGCCTTGATTTCCCATCTCTACTGAATTTTCAGCTTATAAATCCTTTCCTTTTAATAATTAGCATGGAGAGGACTGAAGATGGTTCTTTTCTGAGTGGCTCCATTGAATGTAGACTAATTAAGTTAAACTAACAGTGAACAAAATTAAGTTAGACTAATTTCAAATAGCTAAGGTTAAATTCCTCATTAATTTGTTCTGAGTTTTGTTTTTCATGCAAAATAAGCAACTATGACAACAGCTGTTATCATTTATAAGGTTTTTGTTGCAAATAACAAGAGGAAAAAGCAATAGAAATGAGATGAAAAGAGAAACCAGAGGCTCTTATTTATATAGTTTAAATGTAAAACTGATTGCCTTGTAGGATTAATCATATATATTAGATGCAAAATCTTGCACCACCTTTTGGGGTATATTGTTCACCTGATGTGCATACTTATTACCCATAAATATCATTGCAATATTTGCAAAGCCACTGTAAATTCCATCATATCTCTTTTACTTATCTGTATATTTCCAGAAATTTTTCATTTAATGGCAAACATTCATATAAAGGAGAAAAATGCCAGAAAAACAAACTGTAAGAAACTGTCAGTGTACTTATTTCTGTTGACTGGTGCATTTTGAGAAGCTTCAAGTTGTGTCTGTGATCTTTTGAAATACACAGAACACAGATATTTATTAGACTTTTTCTTTTTTTTTTTTTTTAAGGACATGAATAACTTATACGGAGTTCAGACTTTCTTCCTGTGCTTGGAAGACAACACTGGTGCCTCTTTTGGTGTCTTCTTAATGAACAGCAACGCCATGGGTAAGAAAGCTTTCCCCGTCACTCTGAGTAATCTAGTTAGATTTCTTTGAAAATGATCTTTAAAATTCTGATCTGATGTGGCTGAGCTGATGTGGGTGTCCTTTATTAATGACTTCTGAAAATTTATTGGGAAAAGACTGCCTTTAGGTTTCTTGTGATTCTCTTCTCTTTGTGAGATCAATGCAAACATGGACATGTAAGAGTGATCTGATTACACTTCCCCTCAAGTGCAGGTTGTGGTTTGATTTCCTTGGGCATTCGTGAGCTGTATTTTTCCCTAAGCAAATTTTCTTACAGTCACTCTCAGCCTGAGTCATGGTAGATTTAGTGGCTGTTCTTGTCTGGCAGAGTTCGCAGTGCAGCCCGCCCCAGCAGTGACTTACCGAACCATCGGAGGGATCCTTGACTTCTACGTCTTGTTGGGGGACACACCAGAGCAAGTGGTGCAGGAATACCTGCAGGTACGGTGCCCTAAGGGAAATGCACTGAGAATTTTCCATCATATTTGTAAAAGTGCTTTTTTATTTTATTTTATTTTATTTTATTTTATTTTATTTTATTTTATTTTATTTTATTTTATTTTATTTTATTTTATTTTATTTTATTTTATTTTATTCTCCTCTTTATATGGCTTTGTGTGTTATTTGTTAATGGGTGGTAAAACATACTATTTGCATAACTCTTGCCATGTCCCCAGTGTGACTTGTGTCACCAGGAATGGGTTGCAGTAGTCAAGCTGGGGCATGAAGGTGATCAGCTGGGCTTGCGCTTGCCCACTGGAGCTGACCTTGCTGCAAGGACAAGTTCTTGTCCTCATGGCAATATCACAGGGTGGGGACAGGTTGTAGGATGCTTATGGATGGGAGAAGAACAGCCAAGATATTCCTATTAGCACTCCTTGGAGTTGGAAGTTGGAAGTTCGAGATATCTGAAAGAGCATGCAAGTATTATACTTGGGGATGTAGGGATGGGGTCAAGTGAAGGAGGATAAAGTCATAAAACAAACGCCTCAGGAGAGCGCAGTCATATGCAGGCAGCTCCAGCATCTCCCAATATCTGCTCTTGCCCTGCAGCTGGTGGGGCTGCCGCTGCTGCCTCCGTACTGGAGCCTGGGCTTCCAGCTCAGCCGCTGGAACTACGGCTCACTGGACGAGGTCAAAGCCGTCGTGGAGAGGAACCGCGCCATCAACCTGCCCTACGTAAGCAAGGCCTGGCCAGGGCTGAGCCCGCAGGGTGTGTGGTTGGGCAGGGGCTGTGGAGGCATCTCAGGAGCTTTGCTTCTCACTGGACGTCTTCATGAGTCCAGCACAGTGAACATCCATGACGTGCAGGCATCTGCAGCTGAAAAATTTTATGAATTTTAACAGTAGACTTCTTGTTGCCAGAACGTGGGAGGCACTCAACCTCAGCAACTTTGCTTTGCCCCTTTTATCACAATGGTTTTTCAACAATCCTTTCAAGTACACCCATTTCTTTTTTTCTAATCTGTTACCTGAGGACAAGGAACTGTTAGTTACTTCTTAATTTTCAGTGAAACCTTATGATTAGATTTTAAGTTAAATCAGCCTAAAGTCTTCAAATGAGGAAAACAAAACCAATCCAAAATTAATTTTAAGCTGACTTTAAGAAGAAGAAGAAGAAATATTTTAAGGGGCTAGCTCTAGATATTGAACAACTCAACTTCTAGAGGCGACAAGAGTTGTGTAGCATATATGGCATGATGTTGGTGGCACCTTCTCTGCCAGGAGGAAGTAGAGTAGCAGCAATAAATTCCTTTCAGGATGTGAATTTACTTAGAATAAAATTGTAATATGGGAGTCATCACATAGAGCCTTTAAATACCACCTCCCACATCGAGGCTAAATTACCTTTTCCTTCAGGATGTTCAGTACACCGACATTGACTACATGGAGGAGAAGAAAGATTTCACTTACGACAAAGTAAAATTCAGAGATCTTCCTGATTTTGCAAATTATATGCATAACAGTAGTCAAAAATATGTTCTCATCTTGGTAAGCTCATTACTATTTTTTTCCCATTTTAAATGCTGTCATTATATTTTTATTATTATACTCTACATATTTTTATGCCATTATTACATTTGTTGCCTACCATGGTAGTACTAGACAGTTATTAGTAACGCATAGTGTGGTTTCTTTTTGCTTCTTGTTTTCTGTGCTTTTAGGATCCTGCTATTAGCACGACTAATCTCGTGGATGGGAGTATGTATGGAAGCTATGTCAGAGGAGAGGAAAAAAATATTTGGATTAATGAATCAGATGGAGTAACACCTCTGATTGGAGAGGTAACCACATTTTTATGACCATGAAACTCTAGCTCTTGCTACTGATGTGATTTAATATGGGGGGACTGACTGATGTCAAACTTCATTTTCAGAATACTTTTAGTAATATTCTTTCAATTGAGAACTAATAGTGATAAGAGCTCACATAACACATGACGTGTTTCCACTTTTTTTCTTAGAATTTTTTTGCATTCAATAAAAAGGAAAACTAGGTTAGTTTGAAGGCTCAAGGCTTGTTAGCCAGCTTGTTAGTTACTATTTATTTTCAGTAGTCACTGAAGAGCCAAATTCTACCCTATGCTTTTGGAAATTTCTCTGTAGTAACCTATGAGTTAAGCTAAGTATTGTAGTTTATAAAATTTAGACTTATAACCAAATGAAAACTCCAAAGTTGATGAAATGGTATTCTTTCTGCCTTCTTTTTAAATGCAAGTTATTACAGTTTATCCTTCAAAAGTTTTTTCCAGATCGTTATATTAACACTGTCCGAAATAGAATTTGAGTTGAAACTGTGCAAAGGCTCAGAATCAGAGTTTCTGACCTCCAAACACTTAGTAAGGGTTTAACTCAAACACATCTGACAAGCTACAGTATTTTTTTTACCTCTAGCAGACTTATTAGTGTCAATATACCCTACCGTGTATGCACACACCCATTTCTCAGCAGAGAATGAAGGTTTCTAAAGTGATATTGTTGAAAATGTTATGGGATTGGTTGTGTCCATGCATAAACCCAGCTGGTTTTGGATAGACTTCATTTTAATTATATTTTGGTTTAAAAAAAAAAAAAAAAAATAGAAGCCCAGAGAACTGCAATAACATGTAGTTCCAAAATCAGGACAAAGTAGTTAGCAGTTTGATTTTCCTTTACAGGTGTGGCCAGGAGTAACCGTATTCCCGGACTTCACCAATCCTGACTGCACCAGCTGGTGGGCGGAGGAATGCAGATTATTTTACAATACAGTGCCCTTTGATGGGATTTGGATTGTAAGTAACACAGAATTTCTGTTTTTCTTAAAAAAAATAGGTATGGCCAGAGGTTGCATTGAATTTGAAAGGGGATGTTCACTGCTACTAACCTGGGAATTGGTTTAGGACTTGCAAGTCTTTTGCTGTTGAATTTGGGGTCCAAATTTGCATATGAATTTTCAATCTGAATTTGAAACCTGCCTGCATGCTGAACGACTGCATCTTGAAGAGGTCCTGAGTATGGCTTATTATGCACAAAATCAATGGAGCTCTTCTCCAGGTAGCTCATAGAACTTCAGGTTAGTAAATAGCAATTGCTGCTCCAGACTAGGATTTGGATTAACCTCTGTTAAACAGGATCTCCCACCAAAAGCTTAGTAGGAAACGTGGCACAGTTATTTTTAGGCTCAGTTCATGGAAATCAGGTAAGATTATGGACTATTTGCCTCACTCAGATTAGTCTTTCACAAAAATATGCTGTAGAAAAGCTTTTAAAGGTGTGTGCCTGAAAGCAATCTGTATTTAAACTTCTTAATCCCCATTTAAGCACCTGAGCAGGGATTTAATTCCTTTTTCCTAGATACAGAGCACCTAAAGCTCATTTTGACTCAGAAAAAATTTACAGATACTCAGCCACTCTGGGAAAAAGCTCAAATCATATGGAGGCACCTATGTGTGGCTTCAGAAAGGCCTGTCTACATTCACATTTATTAAAGATCCTATAGCATTAAGGGTTTCTATATTGTTCTGCCTTTGTACTGAGATAGGTACCGGTGAACCTTAGCATTGAAGGTCTGTACCATATTTAATACAATATCTTATTTTCTTTCCTTATTCTGTGCCTGAAAGGATGGATGTCCTTAGACTCACAAAATCTGGATGAATACATTTTCATTTGGTATAAAATAGATTTTTAGAGTATTTTTATTCTTTTACGCGACATGTTGGTGACTGATCCCCCAAGAACCTGGTTGCATTCATCACAATGAGCTCCAGATTTACGTGTGCAATTTTAAACCCTGGGAATGGCTCTAATCTCACAAAGCAAATCACAAGTATATGCTTCGAATAGTTGGGATATAGCTGCATTTCAGCAAATTCAGTCTGATTTATGCTGATACAGTTTTCTGCCTTGGGGCAGAATCCTGTGTAACCATATTGCATACTTTGCCCTTATTGCTCCTAACCCTACAGCAAAACACCAGGCTAAGATGTCATTTTTTATTTAATAAAAGTTGAAACCAGAGAACTTGGAGAAAAAAAGAAGGAACAGCGAAATTTTATTTAGCAGCTATTTGCTAGTAGGACCAAAAGTCCTCACTGGCTTTTGTACTTGCAGTAGCAAATGCAACCTGGTACAGCGAGCTTTCAAATACGTTTTTAAGTTTATCACTTAGTTTATCACCAAATATTTATATTAAATATATACGTATTTGTAATTATTCCTTCAGGCATACAAGGAATAAACATAAAGTCCTGTAAGGAAAAGTTACTAGAGGCAATTTTATTATATGCTGTTTCTTGTGTTTTTCAGGATATGAATGAAGTTTCCAACTTTGTACAAGGCTCAAATAAAGGCTGTGAGCAGAACAACTTAAACTACCCACCCTTCACTCCTAGTAAGTCCCTTGTCTCAAACCACAAAAAACAACATGAAAAAAAATGTGGTTGTGAAGGATATGAACTGACGTTTTTATAGGTCTTATGGATGGGGTCTGCTTACTCCTATTGACAGAAAATGCAGGCATGCCTTGGCCCTGGTTAAAGGCATGGGTAGTATAACTCATGAGAAAAAATGGCTTTTTCTTACCCTTTCAAATTATTATTGAATGTTATCATTGCCTTAATTATGTCTAATAACATATTGATCTTCTTTCACCATCAATGRTTTCAGAGATGTATGCAGAGCTAAAATGGAAATCAGATTTTTATTAAGTAATAGCTTTAAGTAACCACTGCCAATAAGTTGTCAGATCAAATGTAGCAAAAATGGCATTTCCTTTGACCTCAGACATACAGATATGATTCGAATTAAATAGAGAAGTCCTAGTTCCCATCTGTTCTAGGTTGCGGCTGTCGTGTCTCCAGTTCTGTATTTAAGTTAGAAAATCAGAAAATAATTAACTCTTGGTTAACTGAAAGGTACAGCTTTAAATGTTTGGAATCAACATGCACTCAAAAACTGATATCTGTTTCTTTCTGTTGAAGGTATTCTTGATAGACTGATGTTTTCCAAGACGCTCTGTATGGATGCAGTGCAGAAGTGGGGGAAACAGTACGATGTCCACAGCCTTTTTGGCTACTCCATGACCCTCTCAACCCATCAGTAAGCAATTCCTCCCCCAATATCCTTACAAAAAACGGGTACAAAAGAGTGTATAGCTGCATTTTCAAAGACAGCAAGAGAAATCCATTCTCTCTGTCTGCAATTCCAAAATTCACTGAAGCTGGGYGTCCAAAATAAATAAATAAAWAAAWAAAACCTCATTATATATCTGGCACGTTATTGCAAAGTTCAAAAAAATACCAAGCTTTATTATTTAAACTCCAACTGCATTGAAGTCTTAAAGGATAGTAAGTTATTCGTTAGAAAATTATTAGAAAAAAATGCATAAAAGTATGGTGAGCTGCGAGCTATATTTTGATAATTTTGAACTAGTCAAACTACTTGAAAACCTGTGTAAATCAATTTTACTGCAAATTGAAGAACAACTAAGCAGTGGATCTGAGCTCTGCTAGCACAATGCTATGGACCACTATTATAGCATTTAAAATGCCTTCATCTCATTTTGCATCTCAAGTTTCAGCTAAGTTAACCATCTCACCCACTGCATGCTGTTTTGTGTGTTGATGGAGAAGGAATAACTCCTTTCACTGTTTCCTTAGGCTGATTTTTAAATTTTTTATATTTTTTATTTTTTATTATTTTTTATTTTTTATTTTTTTATGACCTAGTGTTATGCCTTCTTCTAGTTTAGACTGGCATAAAAGCTTAGGTTGAATGAGCAAAAATCTCTGTTAATTCATGTAAGCCAATGCAGCTATGGCAAAATATAACAACTACAGTCCTAATCAAAAATATTTAGAAAAGTAAAACAAAATTAAAATTATGAACATAATAGGTAAAGGAGTCCCTGTCCCTTGGGCTGTCTATTAATATACATTAGTCAATATCAATTTCCCTTATATAAAAGCACTCATGTCTGAGGCTTCCCTTCCGCTTTGCCTAATTCCAGCCTTGCTTCCTTCTCAGAGCCATCCAAACGGTGTTTCCAGGCAAGCGGGGCTTCCTTCTTTCACGATCCACCTTCATCGGATCAGGGAAGTACACAGGGCACTGGCTGGGGGACAACGCAGCGCTGTGGGACCACCTGAGATGGACCACACCTGCCATTCTGGAGTTCAACCTCTTTGGGATTCCCTACGTAAGAAATGACACACAGAGAACATTAATGTCTGCAAAATCTGATTGCCGACTTAAGCACTATCTGTATAATCATATTGTCTTCTTAACCATAAATTAATATTCTTTAAGAATCTGTTTGTAACAGTTTTCTCCCCAATAATTGTTGACTTTTTTTGGTTTAGGACTCTTTCTTTGATTTCTCTGAGTGTGGAGGTGTCTGCACGATGGGATACACGTGTGCATCAATCATACTTCTTTATATATTCCAGGCTGCCTGTTACCACTAGTATTTTTTATTCATTGGTGGTCAAGGTGGAACGTTTCCATATGTTCCTCTGCATTTCAGATAAAATAAGAGCACTTGTGTATAAATGAAAGAAATGGGTTTCTTTCCATATTGGCATTCTTAGGACATAGAATAGTTTTCCTGATGTAGGTACATTAGCATATACAGGAGAGTAAAGACTCTAAAGAAAAAGAGTAATGAGCAGTGTTAGGTAGTAATTACTTATCTTTCCTGTGCAAGCCATACTAGAATTAACTCAATTGTATAGTGCAGGTGGAGGAATTTAAATGTCCRTAGACCTTTGACACTATGAAAAATAGGTATTTGCATGGCTAATTCTACTTCATATAATAGATTCAAAACTTCAGTAATTCTGGTAGAGGTTCAATCAAAGACAAAGATAACAGGCAAATTTACTTATAGATGAGAAATTTGAAAGAAGGCAGAAATGCATGGAATAGTTCTGTTCGCCTGGATGAATGAAATAGTCTATCTCTRGAAAACAATACTTGAAGATTTGTATAGAGCTTAGAGGATCTATATATTGTCCTCCAATGTTTTTTCTGTTTTTACTTTAAGATTGGAGCAGACATTTGCGGTTTCTTTGATGACACCACGGAAGAACTTTGCCGAAGGTGGATGCAAGTAGGAGCATTTTATCCGTTTTCCAGGAATCACAATGCTGAGTTATAYATAGTAAGTTGTTCCTGCTCTTACAAAATTTGGCTTGTGTCACATATTACTATAATAATTACATAACTGAATAGCTGGAAATTGGTAAAAACTTACGCTCTCTTTCCAAAATTGTAGCTTCATGAGGGTTAAAGTTGAGAGTATATTTTTGTACCTACATTGGTTGTGTCTACAGCGACAGTGAGGTGACCCACTAGACCAGTCCTTGGGAACGTCCAAGATGAGACGTGAGAGAAGCCTTGACCTACATGTGGGCAGGGAAGAACCTGTACCCACATGGACCACACAGTCCATGTCCATTGGCCATGGCCATGTAGATGTGCACCACCACTGTCCAGCTCTCTGGAGACTGCAGCCACTTTCTACATGCTAGACATATCTAGCACCCTCCAAACTTTCTCTGCTTGGTGGCAATAACAATCTACTATTTATTTTCAGCCTCAGGATCCAGCCATCTTCGGGGCTGATTCAGTYTTGGTGAAAACTTCGAAGCATTACTTGAACATCCGCTATACCCTGCTGCCTTACCTGTATACGCTCTTCTACAAAGCTCACACTCGAGGAGACACTGTTGTACGGCCAGTTTTACATGAGTAAGTTTATTGATCTGGCTTCAGAATAATTTTATTGTGAAAAAAGAAATTCAGAATGRTTACATGTTGGTAGGAACTATCCAAAGACATACATAATTTACGTCAGGGAAAATWGGCATATATAAACACAAATTCTAAGTTTACGAAATACAATTTTTCAGAGTAATCAGAAGTATTCAGAAGAGAAATCATATACAATTTCAGCAAGTATGCATGCATTCATGTCAGCTACTTCGAGGCCTGCTATTAAGCATCTTTGTCAGTTAATGAAATTATTCCCCACCATGACAAGAGTTTTAGGTGTTTTTTTTTCCTGGAAACTCTGGGATAAATCTGTGCTAAAGGCACACACCCACAAACATATGCATGTGCAGGCACACTGACATATATTTATAATACAGCTAACTGCACTCATAAGCCTATGAACTTACAGTCTCAACAGAAGGCTGCTTCAGACAAAAATAGACCCATGCAGTTTTGCTGTGACGCTTTCTGCTAGTCATTCCAGACTGTCAGAAATATGAGGATTGCTCATGACGGCAGCATAGTTAATAAAAACTACTGGTGTCATTTCTTTTCCATTTCTTTAGGTTTTATTCCGACGAAGCAACTTGGAGTGTTGACAGGCAGTTCCTGTGGGGTCCCGGGCTGCTCATCACTGCTGTGCTCGATCCGGTAGCTATTCCTGTCCTGATATTTCTCTTTTTCATAGCAAAGTTGCAGGGAGCAAGGCCATTGCAGTTCTGTCCTCTCTTGGGGGGCTGCRGCTCAACGCTCCAGCAAACTGCATTTATTGGTCCCTCTTCCCACCATCCCTTTATTGCTTTGATTGAAAGCACCTGAATTTTAGCTTCAGTCTTGCGATAGTTTTCTTGTTCATCTTAAAGGCTACAGCTCCTCTACTTTCTATCCATCTCTTGTGCTTCATCTCCTTTTCTATGCTAAATGACAAAAATAGGATAATTTGCCTTCCCTGATGAGCCGAGTAAATTCTCCCTGGTCCTGGAGATACTGCTCATTAGCATTAACATAGCACTGTCTCCAGTGGAAGTATTTCTCTCAATATAGCCTCAGATTATATTTATTTTTCATGGATGCAACAAATTTATTGACTTACAGCTATCTCGGGGTTCCCCTTGAGTCTCTTTCTTTTCTTCCTTCATTTGTTGCTTCCAGTGAGGGAGACCACGACATATGTTTATCACCATCTAAATGGAAAATCTCACACCTTGTGCTATTAAGTACGTTCCATTTCTATTTTTGCATCCTTTAGGGAATCTACTTCTTCCTGCAGGATATTTTGATTCACTCTACTTCATATCAGCTCTGAATTTCATTCAGAAGCAGCTTCGCTCACTTCATTTCACTTTATCTCCAGTGCAGCAGAAAAACAAAAACAAATAAATCATGGTTTTTCTCTGTCGCAAAAACACATATGCTAGGTGGAAACATAAAATGTTTGTTAAATAATTGAGTGAAATGTAAAAGTGGAGATGACTTTGTGATGTTTGAGAATATCCTCTGTGAGTGAACAGGAAGTGTTGAGATGTTGGGCTTCACACATGGCAGAAAGCCAGTAAAGTAAATCAGGATGAGAGGTATCAGTAATTATTCTTTYGCGAACGATGATTTTTGACATTTTCCATTATTTCATTGACTTTCCTTCTCATGTGGAAGTTGTTCCTTTGCCTGCCTTTCAGGGCGTGGATGTGATCCAGGCATACATCCCTGACGCAGTTTGGTACGAGTATGAGACGGTAAGAAAACGTCAAGGACCTGCTGATGTAAAGGGAACAGACAGAGCCACATCRGGGTGAGGGTGGGGATCCCAGTTGCAAGGAAAGTCCCAAGGGCTGGAGCTACGCAGGTTGCACAGAAACTTGAGCAAAGATCATGTTTGTAGCAGTAAAATGCAATAATAATAATAATTAATAATATTAATAATAATGTATGAGAATTTGCAATAATCTTTTGCTGACCCCCCTGCTTGTTCTCTGTAGTGCCAGAACTGAAATTAAGCCCTGATGGGCATTGATTCACAGTGTTGTTGATATTGACCYGGGGTTGGTTTATCTTCATGTAACTAGATTATAAATAGTTATATGGAGAGCAGGATAACAGATCCTTACCTGACTTAAACAGAAGATTTAAGAAGAATCTCTGGCATTAAGAGTGTACCCATGGTAGTGAATAATGCCACAATCCAGTTTTCTTTTTCTTTCCTCTTCATAAGGGGACAAAACTTTCCTGGCGAAAAGAGTGGGTTGACATGTACCTACCAGCAGACARGATGGGACTTCACTTGCGGGGAGGCTACGTGTTCCCATTCCAACAGCCAGCCACCACAACAGTAGATAGGTGAGCTCCAGATCACTTCCATGACTTCTTGCATATTATATTTCATGATTAACTGCAGGCTCATCTACACATTCGTAAATTCCCCCTGTATTATAAAAATTTACATGAAAATGAAAGACAATCGAAGGCTTAATCTGCTTCTTCAGGTATTAGAACTCATTGGAGCTCCAGATTTTTGATGTGAATGTGAAAGATATATTAAGACAGTCTAGTTATTTTTACACACCAAGGACAAATTGTCTTTCTTCTCACAGCCGCAAGAATCCTCTGGGACTTCTCATTGCCCTGGATGACAATAACAATGCAATTGGGGACTTCTTCTGGGATGATGGAGAATCCGCAGGTGAGATATCCGTAAGGGGCTTGGCATGACAGACAAATTGCTCATACTCACAGATTTTAATCTTCAAGGGGACTTAAGGGAGGAAGATTAAGCCATTGGGAATGTTAAATTTTAATTTGTAACAAGTTGTTAGAACTTGTACATGTGTCRTCATAATTCCTTCACTTTTAAGTGTAGAAATGTAACAGTTCTTAATTTGGTGATCTAAGGTTAAATTCCTTTTAGTTATGAGGAAAATTAATGCTTTTGGAAGCAGAGTTCTTCTTCTGCTAAGAAGAGCAGAGTTAGTTCTAGAGCCATGGAAGTAACTTGCAAACAAAAATAGTGTAATTCATCCTTTAAATCTTGAGATGAAGGAAACTTTAAAAAATAGAGAACCTTGAAGTGTGGGATTTTCTGAAGTATCTGAGGAATTAGTTAGGCATCCAGGTCCTGTTAAATTAAAAGGATTTGAGGTACTTAAATCCTTTAGGCAGCTTTGAGAGCCTTTGTTCTTTGCTTCATATTTTTTAGAAATCCTACAAGCAGTTTAAACATTTATTTTGAAATGATTTTTTCGAGGAACTTTTATAAAACACTCAAGCTTGTATAAAAATGATTTAAGAACTTGCATTTGACAGATTTTATTGTTTTATTTGCAACCAACCATAACTTTAAGAGCTGAGGACTTTGGTTTATGGCATATGCCTGTTAGTACCATTACAATTCAAGTAGACACAGTTTTCTCTAATTCATACCCTATCATGTCCATAGTTTGCTATGTATCATTATGTAAACTGAGGTTTATTTGGCTATACTGGGATAAAATGTAGGTTAGAAAATTGGAAAAAACTGCAGCAGCAAAAAGAAGAAAAAGGTCAAAATAAATATTGGGGATCACAAGATGATAGGTGTTTTCCATGTGAGCTAATCTGATCCCTGTCCCTGGTTAAGTGATACCTGAACTTAGTAATTTATACCTCTCTGTCCTGAAACACAACAGCTTTCGGCTGAAAATACATTTTTCAGATGGAGATTTCAGATGCGTTTTTCAGATAGAGAATCTTGAACAAATTAAAATGCTAATTGCCTATGAAACCTTGCCACTGCCCTGGCACTTGCCAGCTGATGAACATCTAGATGTGTCACCACTTTGACACCTCTGCCAAATCCTCAGCATCCCTTGGCACAAGGTGCCAGACTCCCAGGGAGATATTTCTTGCTAGGATGTTTATGGCAGTTCAAAACTCAAATTTGAAGGGCTACTGCACCCTGGTGCTGCATAGCAAGGCCCTGGTGCTGGGAACCGGGCAATCTGTTAGGAAGACAATTACACAAAATGCCAAAATATGAGGCAATTTGTGCTCGAGAGGTAATGTGATGAGAATATTACACTTAATGGAAAAGAAAAGCTTAGAAAAAATTATGCATTCTGCCTGTAGTAATCTCTTTTCTAATTCTACCTCTACCAATCATATCCCAGGCAAGAACTTCCAAAGTTCTACTTTTTAAATTTTGTGAGACTTGGGAATGCTTTAAAGAAATAGAGTTGTGATTTGGCTGATTATTGCAGCAGTAAATATTGAAGGCCTTGGGTGGTTGCTGATATGACAGGTATATGTACTCCTTTGTCAAGGCCTACAATAACTAAGCCATTATTGTACTCACTTCTGTAGAGAAACAAAACAATAAAACATCTTAGGATTTTATTTCCTGCTCAAAACTTACAGCTCGTAGTTTTCTCAAAGAAATAGTTTACAATTTGCTTGCAATGGCAATATTTTTCTTTTCTTACACGGAAAAAAATAACAGGCTGTTTATGAGTCAACTTTTATGTTTCCTTTTCCAGGTGGTGAGTTTATTTCCTCTTTTATAGTTCCATGATGTAGTTTATTAATATTTTATTCATTTTTTTTTGCACTAGGAAACTTCCTTAATAGGTTTTAAAAGATTAACTTCACTGCATGTGCATTTACATTTAAGAAATAATGAGATAGAAAAAYAATAAAATGAAAATTAATGTATTTTGCAAAGGGGAATTTCAGTAAATTTGGAAGATATTTGAACATTAGACTGGGGAAAGAGACCTAAATAAAAAATAAGTGTACGAGGAGTTTAACGAAGAGTCCTCTGTATAAGAGATGATTAATTAAAAGAAATCAGCAAGAAAAAAGAAAAGAGAAAGAACTGGGAAAGCCTATCAAAAGTACCAAGGAATAGTTTTTTAACTATGTGGTTAATAGCAGAAAAGAAATATATTGGTTGGTCATCCAAATAGGAAATCCAGTTACTCACTTTTGGGAGGTCTTAGGGACTAGCAAAGTCATTGCAAAGCAATGGATGCTGTGGTTGATCCCAGAGGCAGGAATGTGCGAGCAAAACTTTGGAATAAATAAATACAGAAAGTAATTTTTTTCACTCATCAAAAGATTACTAGAATTTCATACTTTTTGATGTTTGTGCAGCACCTGCAAGATTACTCAGGGCAATCTTGATTGCAGCTTCTGAATGTAATAATGATAATAATTAGCAATTTATTGATCTTGATAGGGACACAGTCCTGCCAGTCTCGCTTTTAATGCCATTGGGTTCTGTACTGCCAGCGTCATTTTTTTCTTTGCATTTTAGGCACAATCGAAAGCAATCTCTACATCTACTATGAGTTTATTGTTTCTAATGTAAGTACTTTTTTAAAGGATATTATTTTTATTTCCAATCTTAATCTATCTCTTCTCTGCCCTTACTCTTCTGTAATACTTACTGAGAATCAAAGTATTTGGCAAAGGGAAAGAAGTACCTGTTTGAAAATATTGTCATTTGACAATGCTGTCATTTAACTGTGGTGTACATCTTTCATTTGGCTCTTCTCCTAATTATTAACAGAAGACTGCATTATGTTTTTCAGAATAGCTTACAAATGAATGTCATAAACAACGGCTACACTGATCCAAACAACCTGAGGTTTGAAGAAATTAAAATATTTGGGCTGCCCCTGGAGCCAACACAAGTCACCGTAACTCAGAACAACGTTGAGCAAAGTCCTCCTCCCAATATCACCTACGATGCTTCAGCCAAGGTACGTTCAAAGACAAAGCCTGAAGCAGAACATTTTTGGAATTATATCATCTTTATTTTATATATTGCAAAGGAGAATATTCATCCCTATCGTTGATCCCAGAGCATCTAGATGTGTACGATTGCATTGCCCTCATCTGTACAGATTTCAGTTGTATAGACCATAGCTCAGTTTTGCTCTGAGAYGCTCAGCACAACACGAGGTTTGGTTACACACTTATCCATGTAGCTGCACTTGCCTTCCAAGGGAAGCAACAGCTTTAAGATTTTATTTGATATCAAAGCTGGGTAAATATTTACATTTCCGATGATACTTTAGGCATTGATTGGAAAACAAAATTGAGCGTGGGTTTTTGAACCTCATTTCTTGGTTTGTAACRCGTTTCTGAGGATGCATATAGAGCAGCAGCAGCCTTGTGGCTGTGTGTGCTAAGCAGGCAAAGGCACTGCTGCAGGCAGAGAATTTTCATAAACCGCTCTGAGGACAGTGCTGGGAGCTTGTACTATATCCTGCCTTTAATTAATGAAATACCCAAGTTACCTGTTATCTCAGTTACTGAATCAGCACCAAAGTTACATTTACATTTATGGTTAAAAAAGCTAAGGAGTAATGTGCTTATCCTCATTCCTTGCAAGGGAATCATGGTATTTGCTTCATTTTTTATCTTCTTCATTTTTTAGATCTTACAAGGATTTCAGGGCATGAATTGCTAAAAAGCTTAAAAATTAGAATCCATGAAATGTCCCAGAATATTTTTTGTGAGTTTCCACATGAGGAAAATGTTATTGCTCCCGAGAACCTGCATTTCTACTGGCTGAAGAAAGACCGATGGAAGTTGGGACTGAATAACAATGTATTGTCTAATATTTAMAGGTTGCCCATATAACAGGACTCCAGCTCGAGCTGGGAAGATCCTACAGACTGCAGTGGAACCAAGAATCCAGCGTCAATGAACGATACGACTGCTACCCCAGCCCTAATGCCACCAGGGAGAAGTGTGAGCAGCTCGGCTGTGTCTGGAACGTAAGCCAAAGTGATGTCTCGGAGCCAAGGAGATAGCAGGAGAATCGGAGCTTTCTCTGGGATTAGTTACAGTGAGAAAAAAATACAGGTAGTCTGGCAGACTTGTCCGTCTGCCAGACTCCTTTAAAGAAAGGGGGAGGATAGTCATTGGCTGGCCCATATTAGCAGATTTTATTTATTTCATTGAAATTAGGGCAGTTTGTAACTGCTTAAGTTCTTCCCAAGTGCATTAAAGTTRGAGAGGAAATGAGTAATTTTTTGGAAGACGGTAGTAGATAATATTACAGTTATAAAAAGTAGAATAGACTTGAGCTCGCTGTCTTCAAGCAACYCTTCTGCTTCTCTGGACTTCTCCAGGGCTTTGCCACTTCCCCTCATATTCACACTCACTGAAACACATCTTTAATAAAGCTGAGTCCTCAGTTGGAGAAGAAATCCTTGAATTCCAGGGATATTTTCATCCATATATGATCTTAATTTTTTGCATCTCTGTCTATGAGCTATATGCAGATCAAGAGATCTGACATAAAGTTCTTTATAACATATTTTTATTTGTGGATATCATAGAGCTATAAAAGATATCAAAAAGAGGTATGAAAGGCATGACCTTTAGAGGGCCTCACCCTCCACGTTACATTACTTCTTGGTTATAGAAATCTATATTTCAAAGCTGGAATCTGGATAAGAAATCCAAAGTCCTCTACTAGTAGAGCTGAAATAGGAGCTGGACTTTGCTAAATTTCTTGCGGTATTAGAAATATTGCGGTATTAGAAATATTTTTTGCAGTTTTGGATATTTGTAAATATTTCTTCACATGAAATCAAATCCTGGTCGAGTTGTGGCCTGGATGTATTTCAAACACTTGCTCGAGTCAAAAGGTGCTTCGAATTTGGTGATAACAGATGAATAAATATTCATTAGGAATTAAGAAGTGATTAGCAGGCATAGTTTCATGTGAACAACTAGACRCGATTGATGGTGAGTATCCAGAGGTGGAAGACAAATACATTAACCTACATCAGCTCGTCTAACCTCAGAATCTCCAGTTGGGGTGTTTATGTTCAGTTACAGCAGGAAGCTGAAAGTAATTTTGATCTTACTGTCAGGAGATCCTAGATAAATAGGATGTAAGTCTCAATGGATATTTTAAACCCATCTCAATGGATATTTTAAACCCATGTTTAAATGGGTATATCCATATTCATATGAATAGAGACATATAAAATCTGATGAAAAGCTCTCATCTGATACTGCCTGAATATCTAAAGAGCTTTGGGCACATCCTCAYGAAGGCATCCAAAAGACCAGAGACATCTGTGGGTTCAGTATTGTTTCTTTATTGTTCACAAATAGCATTAAGATGTTTCCACAAAAACGCAACCCTAAATAGCTGTAAAATAAGAACTGGAAACTGTGGAATTCTTGATGATAATTGAAGGCAACACAAGGCTGAATCCGATGTCCCTTTGCAGGAAGCCGTCTCGGAYGTGGATATTCCATCCTGTTACTACAGTGCAGACAACCCCTACTCCGTTGATAAAGTTGAATACTCTGCAGATGGCCTGGCAGCCAACCTCACCCTCAACAACATCAACACCAAAGYGTATGAGAACTCAACCCAACCGATCAGTACGCTGCGCTTGGAGGTGAAATACCACGACAACAACCTGCTGCAATTTAAGGTAGGGTCACACTGCATTTCTGTGGGTTTGTATCACCATATTCATCAAAATAGTTTTATTTATGGAAATAATATGGTTTTAGTTAAGTTTTAGTTACGTTTTAGTTAAGTTTTAGTTAATTTGGACTACTAGCTCAAATAAAAACTATTCAGAATCTTCCAGAAAAGCTGTTTTCTTCTTCTAACCAAACAAGCTATTTCTTCGAACCAAACAAGAAAGAAAGAAGAAAACAGGTTTCTTCTGCTAACTAAGTAGCTGCTATCGCTCTTTGGCCATATCTTTCTCATCCTAGGATTTTGTCCTGGGTTTTACAATGTAATGACTTGAATTAAAGGTCAATGTATGCATGTAACACCAATCACACCACGGAACTAAAAGCACTTTAATAGTATTCAGGTATACTGTAAGTGTTATTATGATCATAATGTTATTTTTGTCTTAATCATTCTACGTATGTAATAAAAGTTTAATAAGTTATTGTTTAGACTATATTATTATGTATTTAATAATATTATGATTTGGATGGATCATTAAAATCATCAGGCAACAAGTCTTGAATTACCTTGTCAGCAGAATATAGAAAACCTTTAACTAATTTTCAGAGAGAGTTTCTAAAGATGAATCAAAAAATTAAATACATATCCTGCATATGTGCACGCGCACGCGCACGCACACATATACATATATATATATATATATATATAAAAGAGCAAATTTAAATAATTAAAATATTCCTGAGCCAGAATAAGCTCATAAGTTTTTTTCTTTTATACAACCCAAATATTTTGAAGGAATTCAAGAACAACTGCATATTGAAAGAAAACACTCATCAGCAACTTTATTTAATGATTTTCTGTATTCATTTTAATCAAATCGTGTTTCCGTCACTATTGGGAAGATTTCAAGCAATTCTCTTTCAGACTAGGGAGTCTGCTAGACTACAGGAGTGTTTCTGTCAGTCTAAAACAAGCGTGAGAAATGGTGCTTGAACTATTATCATCGTGTAGTCTTGAAAATGTCACTATTGATGTGTGCTACAAGCTGTGTGCTTGCATACACACCTGAAATGAATGATTGTTTTTTCACTCATAGATCTACGATTACCAAAACAAACGGTATGAGGTTCCAGTGCCACTAAACCTCCCCAGCACCCCCTCGAGCACCGCTGAGGGTCGCCTCTACGACGTGTCCATCCAAAGAAAACCTTTTGGGATACAGATTCGGCGCAAAAGCACAGGCACAGTAATGTAAGCCCCGTTCCACTGATTTGTTAACTATTTTCAACCATTTTCTTGTAAATTATATTTAAATGTCATGAGTTTTTTGCATCCTGATAGGGCCTGCTTGGCCCTTACATGACAACATTGACCCAGGGGAAAGTCAGAGAAGAGAAAGAGTAGCCTCAAGAAGGGGGCTGTCAGATAAACATGGTAATGAAAACCTGTATATCRCTATTTTCATTTCCCTCTTTCCATTTACATTTAGCTGGGACTCTCAGCTCCCTACCTTCACGTTCAGTGACATGTTCATTCAGATTTCTACCCGCTTGGCATCGCAATACATATATGGCTTCGGYGAGACTGAACATACCATGTTCCGGCGTAACATGAGCTGGCATACCTGGGGTTTATTCACCAGAGACCAGGCTCCCACGGTCAGTGAAGCTGAATCTGGATTTTTTTTTCTCCATTAATGTTTCCGTACTATGAAAATTTCATATAACTCTTGTGGATCTTTTGTCCTGTCTTAGGAGTGCAGCAACCAGTACTAATGATCAATGAACCTAGTGAATGGAGGTGTCTGGCAGGGCTTTAAAGTCAACTGGCACTGGACATGTTTATTGGTTTTGGTCATATTTATTGAGGCTCAAAATTTATCCAAATTGTCCATTGTTTCTTAACAGCAATGGTCTTCTCTACGCCTACTTTTAATTTGTGACCCTCAAGTAGAGAGTGGAGCTCAGGGCTTGAGCTGTATGGCAACAAATGGCTCAGGAAAAAAAAAAATGCTGCTTTTTTATACTTCTCTGTCATTTTTTTTTTCTGAAAGCTAGATGTGAGTCAGGAAAACTCACAACTTTGGGATCAAATTGGCACTTAAAGAGGCAAATCAGCTATTTAAATCCATATGCATGCTTATGCTACTTTCTATAAGATAATGCAATGTTTGCAATTTGCAGGGGATTGTCAGTAAAATGGCAGTTGTTTATTACAGCTATAATTTCTGGTTTTGGGKTTGGAAGGTCTTTGAGAAAGTGAAAAAAAAGAAAGGATGTCACCAGTGTGTCACCTCAGGTGTACTGACACTGTTAACTGTTTGACAAGAAGGGAAGTTKTCTCCCGAAGAAGCTACTTGACATGAACAATTTTCCAAGGCCATGGTGCACTTACTTTCCTAACCCGTTGATCAGTCTGAGCAGGACAGACCCCAAAATAGCAGCCAAAATTGATCCTTGGTGGGACTGTTAGCATCTACCCACAGCATGACATTGAAGTTTTTGCCGTATGTTTGGCAGTTGCCTCTGATCATTTTTTTAACTTATAGGATGCTCATGAAGTATTCTTCTCTTTTATACRTCTTTCATGATGTATTCTTATTCTTTTGTATTTGTTTTTGCAGTACAAGTTGAATTCCTATGGCTTTCAACCATTCTACATGGCCCTGGAAGAAGACAGCAATGCCCACGGCGTTCTCTTGCTGAACAGCAATGCGATGGGTAAAACCCCTTTCATTTTCTCAACCACTTTCCATTTTACGTTCAGTTTGGGGCAGAAGCAGCGTATCTGGGCGCTCATTTCCTCGCTTCCCTTCCCGTTTTACAGATGTGACATTCCAGCCCACTCCAGCTCTGACCTACCGCACCATCGGAGGCATCCTGGACTTCTACATGGTTTTGGGCCCAACACCAGAGCTCGTGGTTCAGGAATACACTGCAGTAGGCTTCTTATTCCGTTACCAACTGAAACTGTTGATTTTTTTTAGTTGTATTTTTTTAATTTTATTTTGCATTTGCTACAAATATTCCTTCTTATTTCCAGCTGATCAGCCGGCCGGTCATGCCACCCTACTGGTCCTTGGGATTCCAACTGTGCCGCTATGGGTACAATAACGACTCAGAAATTGCTCAGCTGGTGGCTGAAATGAAGAGAGCCGGCATTCCCCATGTACGTGGGTAGCACATACACTTGCACTCCTACCTTAGTCTCCACCTCCAGAGGATTAATTAAGAACAGTAAAAAAAGTATGCAGTTTCTGTGTGCTTTATATGCATACATATGCATACAAGTCAAAGACTTCGTTTTTTTCTCTAGCATTTGCACTTGCTGATAGGTTGAGTGAGGATATAGTAAGCTTAGCTTAAAGTTTCATCTGATTCTAGTTCCACATTTTGAAAATGTAGTAGTTAGCTTTATTTTTATTATATTTCTATATGCTCTGTCAGCATATATTTAGGGAACAAAAAAAGGAGGTTGGACCTTGAACATTCTTTTTTTTATTTTAATTGCAGGATGTTCAGTATGCGGATATTGACTATATGGAGCGGCAAATGGACTTCACCATCAGTCCAAAATTTGCTGGATTGCCAGCTCTAGTTAACAAAATAAAACAAGAAGGAATGAGATTCATCCCTATCCTGGTCAGTTTTGAATTTCAGTTTTAAAGTAGAACACATAATTGCTGAAAGCAGAATGTATTTAATAGCATTTCTAATTTTCTTTTAAGGGTAAAAATGTGTTCCCTTTAATTCTAGGATCCAACTATCTCTGGAAATGAATCAAATTACCTCACCTTCTCAAGAGGTGTGCAGATGGATGTCTTCATAAAATGGCCCAACACCAATGACATTATATTTTCAAAGGTACTGCTCTTGACATGTTGGTAACAGCAGAGGTATTTTGTACACAAGCAAGCAAGACGCCAAGCTAGACTTCATTGCTCTCTACAGGAGGAAGGACTTCTAATTTAATTTTCATTACTGAATGTAGTTATTAAATTAATGCTGCAAACTGAATTGTCTTCAGTTTGTGCTGTCTTTGGTGTATGCAGCARCAATGTATTCACACAGGTAGTATTCACTTTCTATTTAATCTKGTTGCTTATATTACAATATCTTTTGTCCCTGTAGGTCTGGCCATTTCTTCCCAATGTAGAAATAAATCAGACACTGCCTGAGCAAACCCAAATACAGGTAAACATCGGTGCAGTTTGATTATTGGCACAAATGTAAAGATAGAAGTACATTAATTAAGGAAATGGTAAAATATTTATTTTATTTTATTTTACAAATTCCAGCATTTAAATACTGGCATGCCTTCAGTGCCCTGTGTTCTACTTTCCTCCTTCTTGTACAGCTGTATGGAGCACACGCCGCTTTCCCGGATTTCCTCCGCAATTCCACAGCTGAATGGTGGAAGCAGGAAATCGCAGACTGCTACAACAACCCCACCAATGCCTCCATGAGCCTCAAGTTCGATGGCCTGTGGATCGTAAGTATGAAAATGTATTCTGTTTCTGAGAAACTTTTGCCTCTATTCATCGTAAGATTTTTTTTCGAAACATCTTGAAATTTCAATTTTAATGCCTCTAAGTCAATAAGCACACAGGTTAATATATTATGAATGGTCTACCAAAGAGTAATTCATTTTTTTTTAAATAGCATCATCATTTTCTCCATATTAAACATCTCACTTTCTATGTCTACAAAATCTTTTTTYCTTATTTTTGACTTTCATAATACTTACTTGGCAATGTCACTCTTCTGTTAGCTCCTGAAAAGMATAATTTTTGCACAACACATGACAACTATTTTTTACAAGTACTACATCTACAGGAGAGAAGGAGTTAGATAGGAAAATTAACATATTAATTAGATAAAATGAACTTGCAGAAGCTCCTAAATAATAATGGTTTTCTATGTAAATCCCAGAAACATSTAAACAGCTATCAAAATGTTTAACATTTTTCTATAGTGCGAACTCTGGTTTCCTATTGCAACCAGAGGACCACAGGCACTGAGGATACAAGTAATAATTACAAAGTTCAGAAATTCAGCAGTTTTTGCATCAATATTTAGCTCTATCTTCTTTAATTAAATTTTATACATACGAAAAGCTGTCCTTTTTAGTGAATATGATGGATAAAGACAAGAGTTTGTAAAACTGAATCCCARTACCTTTAAATAATCCCATGGGATAAGGCACTCTGCTCTCTAGGAAATGAGGTAGTCAGAATCTGCCTGTTCAGGGAGTTTCTTATCAGAAAAATTATTCGTTAAACAGTAGTTTTACACTGATTGAAGAAGAAAAGCAGTACGTGGCTCTGAAAATCAGAGTTCTCCAGTTCAGTTAATTTACTTGTTCAACCTGCTGAAAGAGAAAATTAAATATTTAGGGCACAATTTGAAATAGCTGAAAGGAGCTCATTGCCCAGATTTCTGCAGAATTTGTTCATCCAGCACCGGAGGGCTCCTTCCGAAAGAAAAAAATCCCAACCTTCTGCTGTATTGCTGCTAAATGAGCTCAGTGCCAAAAGCTGCCAGCTCCTGTTGGGTTTGCCCTGCTACTCTTGCATATCCACTCCCTGGGAGCAAAATCAACGGAGAAGAGCCTGGTTCCAACTGCTTCTCTGCTAAACACACTAGCAGAGACAGCACAGGGCTRTTTGTGGCTGTTAGTATTTAAGTGAGCGTTTTAACTCATTTCATCGTGATTGAAACAAATGCAGTCAGGTTTTGCTTTGTGTTTTTAGGACATGAATGAACCTGCRGCCTTCATGAATGGTGCCATCGGYGGGTGTAGAGACGATGTTCTAAATTACCCACCGTATATGCCTCGTAAGTCTGATCCCTACCTCAAACGGTCTGTGGGCATTCTGGTTAATCTCTTAGCATCTCTTTCATGGTGTGTGTGGCAGAAATACCTAAAGTTTAGAAAGAAATAATGGAATTCTCAACAAAAACTCAAGCCTTTTTCAGACAGCGTGAGGGCACTTTTTAACTTCCATCTAGTTCAGAAGGAACAGTGACTACTCTGCGTTTTTAAAAAATAAATTTATCATCTTTAGCTAGTWGCCTGCATTAGGATTTTGACACTTATCTAGATGCTGTGCTCTAGACAGGGTAAAGAACGTAATTTTCAGTGTTTTGGAGACTTTTCTGAGATGAGGAATGTAATCAATGATTAAAAAATCACAAAATACCCAATTGCTTTCCCTCATTAGAAGTTATCTATTCATAAAAATATAAGGTCTAATTTGAAGAATGCCCTTGAAATACTTAACTTTTTTGGCTTGGCTTGGCTTAAGGATGAGTACGTAGTAGTACCATCAGATAATGATTCATGAATGTTTCGCTGCAGTAACTCTTGTTGCTCAATTCTGTCTTCAGTTAGTGTGGATCATTTCTCAGCATTTGTCAGAAGGTTAATATTCAGTGAGAGACCTTTTCTCCCAATTTTCTGTTTCTATGGACAATACGACATTGTTTATAAAGCTCTGCAAAGTTTTTTGAATTAGGATATGCTCTGTTTGCTATTTAAGCCTTGTCAGTAAGAGCACCTATAACCGAGTTATTAATGTACTTGCAGATCCAGATATCTACTCAGGAGTATTAGGAAAAGTCCATTTCAGAAAGCTTGGTATAATATTTTTATAATAATATATAAATGGCTGTATACATACATAAAAGAAAGTGAATGACAAAACAGATTATGTTTTGTCAGACAGACTAACAAAGAGCAGCTCATTGAAATTATTACTGAATGTTACTYGTCAAAATTGGACTCGTTAAGGTTGGACTTGATGATCTCTAGAGGTCCTTGCCAACCTTGAATATTCTGTGATATTCTGTGAAAATACAAGTGTTCTCATTCTCTTTCCAATAGATTTAGGATATCGTTCAGATGGATTAATTGTCAAAACGCCATGCATGGAAGGGCAGCAGTATCTCGCCGATGGTACCCCAGTGAGACACTACGATGTCCATAGCTTGTATGGATGGTCCCAAACAAGACCTACCTTGGAGTGAGTTTTTACACCTGTTTGCTATTTCCAAAATATGTCATCAATACACAGCCCATGTCTCGATGACCAAATATTTCATCATTTCAGTTGCCTGATAAATCTGTCTTCTCACCCCAATGCCTCTAGTTCTCGAGTCCAGTGGGCATTAGAGGTTGAGCCTTCATCCATGTAACTTCTGTGTTGTGTGAGCTTCGTCACTGACCTATTTTGTGAAATGAGGTGGTCATGGTGCTATTTTGATTGCAATTTAATTTAGATGTAATTACCTGCCTTTGGCAATTTTCTTGTCCCTGCATATTCAGATACAACGTGTGGATTTTCAGCAGAGGTTTCTATTACAAGAACACAAGTGAGGCTGTCTAGGGCAGTGCTTTTCCTGTTAAACAGCATCAGCCCATCAACAGAAACCATTCTGCTATGCAGTTCTGAATGCTTTGATTGGCTGTTAGGAAAATTACTTAATGATAGTCTCAAGTAATTACTGTAATTAAAACATAAAACACTTAGTGTTTCTAGGTATTGCTCTCATAACCTGCTTTATTTACAGCAATGATATTGTTTTAGACTCACATCAAGCGCAGAAAAATGTGGTTTTTAAATATAGAATACAATGCAGGCATTCTTAAATTACTGTTTTTAAATTAAATTGAGTAGCACTGAAAAGGGAGAAGAGTGAGTTTTTAAATGCAAATTATATGCTCATGCACACAAGCCTTATGGTTTTCCCTATAAGAAATTAATTTTGCAGTTCCAAGGCAAACTTCATTACATGATCCTCACCAAGAGCAGCCTACCAGCCTATTTCAGATAACACCTCATCTAAGGATGATGTATTTATGTTGTTTCATTTCCAATTCAATGAGTACAGAAGGCATAGTATTTCTTTATAGGTCTTAATGCCCTTAAAGCCCTTAGTAACTTTGATATTAGCAAAAAGAAAGAATATCCCAAGACAACTTGAGTCAATGAGGGAGTGGATGAAGTAGGAAGACCCTTTGCACACCGACCTGCATGCAAACTAGCACATCCCCTACATGTGCACGACCACCCTCTACAGAGCTTGACATCATCTCAATTCTTTTCAGCATATCAGTATTGGCTTTATGTCACTCTTTGTCAATGAGGCTTTTGCAAAGACTTGAAAGCTAGAAATCTTTAAAAAATAATGTAGGATTTTTGTGGTAAAAAAGGGCTTTGGGATGCAGGTAGCTGCTATTGCCTTGGGATCCTGCATCAGTAAAACACATAGGCCACGCTCATCCTTGAGCAGCTTGATGCAGGACCTGCTCTTTCTTTACATTTCATACATTAGCTGCAATTTCCAAAGTGTTGTTTCAGCAGAGTAAACCAGCCAGCGGCGGAAAGCGCTCAATAGTATATGACAAAGAAATAAAAGATACTCGAAAACTTACCGTTTATCTTGGAAGAACTAATTACAGTACATTAGTCTAGTTTAATTACTATGGTAATTTAAGAGACTTGTGTATTTTTGCCGTAATTATAGTGTCACTTAAGCTGCAAATCCTGTAGAAAAAATAAATAAATAGCACCGTATTGGAGCAGTTGTTAAAGCAATTATTGTGGAGATATTGTTAGAGAGCGGTGCAATTTAATCAGTGTAGCTTTTAAACTAGTATTTCAGTCTAGTATCTCTCTACAGTGATTCACAGGGTGTGTGCACAGGAGTTCTAGGAAATCAGCCTGGGAGAGCGTCCGCTGTGGTCACAGAGCTCGGAGCAACGAGAGATGCCTGTGGGAAGGGCACAGAGCACTTAGCTGAGCAAGGAAGCAGCAGTTCCTCCTGTCTCTATTTTTCCTTTTTCTTTTTTTTTTTTTTTAAATTTTGGCTTGAAGATCCTTTCTCTACCTTTTTAGGTATTTTGGGGCAACGACTGAGGCTTTACTTGAGAAAACAATTAGAAATCTATGGTTTATTTCTTTGATCCAGCATTTTTGGCAGCTATAGCTGTGCTGACAGCTCTCACATCTTTGGTAGCCTATTTCCCCCTTTAGTAGCTTCTTCACCTGAATTTTGTTCAGACTATTTCCAACCATTGCTGCAAGTTTTCAGGCATAGCCTGGACCACCTCACATCATTACCCGTAAAAAAAAAAATGCAAATTGCTCTACATTCCAATTTTCCTACCCTGCAATTCACCTACATAGGAAGCTTCTATTTTGGCACCTCCTGTTTTCACACTTCTCGTATTATTTCTCTTCCTATACCCATTTTATTTGCTTGCGGAGAAAACTTCATGCAATGATGTTTTAAGATGTCATTTCCCTGCCGTTGATTTCCTTGTGGGTTCTCACCACCAGGGCCGTGCAGAGTGTCACCAAAGAGCGGGGCATCATCATCACCCGCTCCACGTACCCCAGCAGCGGCCACTGGGCAGGACACTGGCTCGGGGACAACACAGCCGCGTGGGACCAGCTCACCAAGTCCATCATCGGTGCGTAGGAGGGAACTGCAAAAAAAAACAAGTGAAAAGTGCAAAAAAGTGATGTGTTGAAGAAACTGTGAAACTTTTTTCCCATTCTTGTATAATCTATGTAGTTGTTAAGCATACTAAAGAGAAAAAATAGGAGAAAAAAAAAAAAGAAAGAGAATCGTTAATTCTCTAATTATTCAAAATAATGTTGGATTATTTTTTCCTTACAGGTATGATGGAGTTCAGTCTCTTTGGCATCTCTTATGTAAGTTCCTGAGTTTATGCCTTGCATTTACCTACCCTTATGGTGTACAAGAATTTACACTTCTCCCCCTGGATTATCGTTTTTGTGCCTTTCAGACTGGAGCAGATATCTGTGGCTTCTTCAACGACGCAGACTACGAGATGTGTGTCCGCTGGATGCAGCTGGGCGCCTTCTACCCCTACTCCCGGAACCACAACCAGAAAGGCACGCGGGTGAGCGCCGCGTCCACGACGCTTGCACCCCTTCCAGCATCCTCTGCTGCCAGATCCAACGTGTCTTCCCTCAGGAACCATTTTTTTTCTTGGAAAAAAGAACAGTGAAAACAGCCCCTTTTGGTGGCAACATGCCCTGCAAGTAGCTCCGCTGACCTTGGGGCTCACAGCCCTAATTGTGGGCTAAAAGTGTCCCTAATTACACATTGAAGCAGCATGTGGCCCTGGGTAATGAGGCTCTCCAGGGAGCACCTGAAATTCCYGTGCTTTGCACATTTGCCACCATCAGATATTGTATTTCTTTTAGGGAAAAAAGGGAAATAATTACCTAAATGTAGGGCTGTGCTGGCTAAGGACTATATTATAGAAAGCTGTAAAACAAGATAACTAGAAAAACTAAAAAAAAAATWAAAAAAATTGAAACAGCACTTATACTCCAGTTAGAGCTTTGGGTCTAGCAGGGTAGAGCTATTTATATGACATATACCTAATGGATTAAAGTCTCCTTTTAAAAACCAGTGCGCTTTATCTTGCAGCAGCACACCTTTCGATAGGACTTTTAAAGCCTTTAAAAATGCAGATTCAGGGTTATCACGTTGCTTCCAGTCTTACCCAATTTGCCAAGGTATTGTTCAATACCTTTAATAAAGACTGGAAGTGCTCCCTGACATCAGTCATTAGCGCTTTGCTCTCTTCTTGCAAGTCCTGAGTGCTGCCCTGCAGAAAAGAAGGATAATAAATTATGTACACCCAAATGTGTCATCCCTTGGGGAGAGTTTGCACTAAACATTTTTTGCAGCACTCACCCTAGTTTTTTCTCACCTTCTTCCTTCCTAGCTCCCCTGCTTAGCGCTGCTGGTGACTCCTACTCTTTGCATTGTCCCTTAGTTGTTAATTGAGAAACAAATAAAAGAGCTCTTGGAAGAAATGGAATTTGCAAGAGCCTGTGGAGATTTCTCCAGCAATGTTCTGAGGATGATGATTTTGAGGCACATTTGAACACTCCTGCAATTATCAGCAAAACTTTTTAAAAATAAATAAATAAATAAATAAAAGATGCTAAACAAGGTTTATCATAACCATTAGAAAATTCTTTGACCTCTCTTTTTTTTTTTCCCCTCCAACTCTTCAAAACAAAATAATGCAGTTTGAATAACAGCAGTGCCTTCTTTTTTTTTTAAGAGGCAAGATCCCGTGTCCTGGAACTCAACGTTTGAGGACATTTCCAGGCACGTGCTGAATATCAGATACACTCTGTTGCCCTATTTCTACACACTAATGCATGAAGCCCATGCCCACGGAAGCACTGTGATCCGACCCATGCTCCACGAGTAAGTGCGATTCATGAATTTCCACTAAATCCAAGTTTCCATAATCAAAAAAATTATAAAAAAAAAATGTTTATAAAGTTTTCCATTCTTACACCAATTTGCTTGAGATGATTGAGAATGCGAGTTTTCACTATCAAATCACATTTTCATAGCAGGGGTTTACCATTTCATACTATGTAAAAAATGAGCATTATGTTATCTGGGGTTAATACATCTTAAAGCTCCTCTTTGGAGGTAAGCAACATCAAAGCACAAGCTGGTGCTGGAAATGTGCAGAATCAAACAGCAAACTTTGCAAAAAGTAGCAGAAATAAAAACAAAGAAATAGTAGATTCCGTTACTGCCAAAAACTCTTAAGTAAGAGCAGTTTGGAAAAGGTTAATCCTCAGGGTCTAATCATGGCTTGGTGACCTTGCAGGTTTGTGGAGGACAGAACAACATGGGAAGTATACAAACAGTTTCTCTGGGGACCTGCACTGCTCATCAGCCCTGTGCTGGAGCCAGTAAGTCTCTAAATACTTTGAGTGCATATGAAATATTAGATGTAAACATGAGAAGTCACTTTTGCTTTGCTTTTTACTTTTTCTGTGCCTAAAGTGTCTATGTCTAATTCCAGAACGCTGTAACAGTGCATGCTTATTTCCCCAATGCCCGCTGGTATGACTACCACACGGTAAGTCACATAAAGAAGTATGCATTACATAATTCTTCAGAATATATTTATTATATACGTTCTTCTTTACACTGCTTGGGGACAYGGGATGTGCTGGGAGCAGTGGTGAGACAACAACCCATGTGTTCTTTTTTTGCAAAGAGGTGGAAGACAAGACTTGGAAGGAGGAAGAGCTGGCATGTAAAGTCATTTAGCTTGTTCCTAGTATCCCTGTGGTTCAGTCACAGTCAGCTCGAGTTAGGTCATTCTTTTGCATGGATGGAATTTCATATTTTTGTCTTTAAAAGTATTACGTAGATACTCTTACATTAAAAAAAAAGGGGGGGGGGATTCACAATAATGTATGTTTTATAAAAGAATTAATTAGCCTTGAAAAAAAATAGGTAGTATATTTCAAAGTTGATGAGCACATCAGTCTAAAAGTGTAAAATGAGCACGRTTTAAAATGAGCACGTTAACAGACTTTAACGAAGTCTGTTTTCCATTTTATTTTTTCATAATTAGGATGAACTTTCTAGCATCAGGGGACAATTCACAACATTAGCAGCTCCTTTGGAACACATCAACCTGCATATCCGGGGAGGTTACATCCTTGCCAGGCAAAGCCCTGCTAATACAACTTTCTACAGGTATGATAAGATTAATTGAAAATTTAAAATGAGTTTTTTCTCCTTTTTTTTTTCTTTTTTTTTTTTTTAAAAGGTATATCTTTAGTTCCTAGCATAACAAAATACACATTAACTATATGTGACAACACTGGTTTTGATTTCTGGGTTCAAAATGTGAAAACTGTAATTTTATGGTTTAATGCATACTATGCTGAGATGTAGCTCCCATTTCATAAAAATTAGCAGCTGTGAGAAAAGCTAGGTGTATGATAGCACATTAWCTTTCCATCTTCTGGACCATTTTAAATTTAATATTATGGACCGGGGAAGGCCATTGTTAGAGAGAAACTGAGTTGCGATCACTATTTGTAAAATAAATGATAATATTTGAGCAAGATAAAATGCAATTGCCTGAGGAAATCCAGGAAAAAATAGTTCTTTTTCTTTTTTAATAGCCGACAAAACCCACTGGGACTTACAGTTGCTCTGAATGACAGCCAGCTTGCCCAAGGGCAGCTCTACTGGGACGACGGGGTTCGCATCAGTAAGTATCATGGATGGTTCTCGCTTTCCTGTTCTTCTCACTGCGAGGATGTCTAAGTCCTGGTCCAAGCTGCCCACACTAGTTACAGAGTCTCCACTCTTGGAGCTACCCAACAGGCAGGACATTGTCCAGGACAACCTGCTTGGACCAGGCAACTTCCAGGGGCCTTTCTGACCTCGGTGATTATGCAAATCTATGATTTTTTTTTCTTTTTTTCTTTTTTTCTTTTTTTCTTTTACTTTTTTTTCAAAAAGCTTCAATCCTCTCTTCTGGATTCATCTACTATTCTTGCGAGGGTTCTCCAAGCCCTGCTACCGCCTTATACACTGTGGTGGCACATACACATGGATGCTCGAAAGAAACAGTCTGATTTTAAAACCTTCGGGTTAAAAGTAAAGCAAATAAGACTAGAAACTGGTAACTAGAGTGCTGGAACAAATTACAGTAGCCAATGAAAGATAAATAATGTCAAATAGATAATTAAGGAACTTTTCTAGAGCCCTACGTTCTGTGCTTTCTTATAGTAACGCCCATGGTGGTGTGAGGTGTCTCATGAGAAATATTAGGAGCAAGTGCAAGTGATGGACCCTGCTGGCCAAAGCAATCATGTTTGGGGAAACTCTGTGTGAACAGGCCGTCAAATATCAAATTCAAATTAAATTTTTAGGCTAACATTATATTAAAATGATTTTCTTCTGTTWTAAAAAACCATAATGTTATTTATAGAATTTATATTTTGCATAAGTTAAATTGATCCTGGACCTATGACAACATATATAACAAAATTTGTTTCCAAAGCTATGGAGTCACAACCTAGATTATGTGGGAAGCTTTAATTAATTTCCTCAACAATAATAAACTTAAATTATCTTCTGATAAGCCGTACTTAGATGTCTCTTATCCTTTTTATCCAGAGCATATTATCCTTGTAATAACTATACGTTACCACCTGAGATGACCGCAAGTAATACACGAAATTTGCTTTATTTAGCATAACGATGCACAGGAAAGTTTCCAGGATGCTATTAGTGTATTTTGARGTGCTTCACATACATCACGGCCCATTATCACTGGAATTGAGAAGTGATGGCTCTGTTTTTAGAGTTTCAATGATAAATGAAGCCAGCATCAATTACAAGGTGCTTCCCACCAGGATGTCTGCGATCTACTTTGTACGGAGCAGAAAGGCAAGAACCACAAATGCCTCTGGTTATCAGAACTCCTTGGGTTCAAAAGCAGATTTGGGCAAACACGGAGCCGTGCTTTATCTGTACGTCGCTATATGATATGCACGTATATAGTAAAGGCACGATTCTTGGATTGAAATTATAAAAACATATTAACTGAGATGAATAGCAAATGTATTTTAATTTATTCTTCCTTTTTAACAGATGCCTATGAAGACGGGGCATACCTGCTAACAACATTTACTGCTAATCAGGTACACAACATCCACAGGTTTGGAAAAATCATGTTGTGTGATTATTGTTCCTTTTTTAACTGTAGGAATTTTAATTTTGTTCTTTTAATGTTTTGAAATCTCATCATAACACTAACTCTTGGTGCTAGGCCAGTTCTTATCCAGGCATGTGAAGACTGTAGTGGGTCTATAACTGATTTGAAAATGTCTTTGGGATGGCAATCACATATACTAGCAAATACTAGAAAAGCAAACTCATTTTGCATTATTCATGCTCATATATACCTGGGCCACTTCATTTACTTCAGCGGGGCTCTTCCATAGCTGTGCACGTTGACATGAGGTGTTCAGCCCAGACCGAAACCTCCAGGGCAGGTACCAGTTCACAGACTCTGTGTGATGAGAATCTCAGACATTTACATTTTTTTTTCTGGTATATATGAAGAAAATGAGAAGGAGTGCTTGGTATTCACGACTGAATACAATATAACAAATACGACTGCATTAAGAACTATTTGAAAATGGTTCCTAGAAGATCTGCTTTAGCATATTGTTAAATATGGTATATATTTGTGGTAGTACTTCTGATATAATCCTGAAAAATTTATTTCACGAAAGATTTTTATGAAATGAAAGCACATATCAATGCCAAAAGCAGATAAATGTAAGACTAATTGCATTATTTTGCCAGCTGCATATTCAGTGTCACTTTTGCACATTATTTAGTGGCATCTGTTTAAACAAATACATTCTATCTCGATCATCAGCTCATTCATATTTTAAAGCTATGCAGTTAAACACACATATATATCAAAAAGCTAACTGTTGCTGACTAGAAAGGGATTAATATATTAAAAACAAGTATACTGAGCCTGTAACTCCAGCTAGATTCAGGGAAAGGCTTTTAACATTCCAGAGAAAAGCAGGCAAGTGGCCCTTGCATCTGTGGAACGCATAGGTAGACAGAGGCAGAGGCAGCCCTGGCTGAGCAAGGAAGAAGTTGGAATTATTCTTTTAAAATGCGGAAGTTTGGTAAAGAGTAGTTAGTCATCTACCAAGCTTTGCACAAAAATACTTAGGCAGGCCCCTGAGTCGATGAAAAGCAGGTTTTGTTGCAAGAATTGGCATTTCTAAGATGTCAGTTTTTAACAGGACCAGCTGAATATTCAGAATTAAATTAGACTATAATTATATGGACTATCAATTTTAAAGAGGAGCTTTTTATATTGTAATAGAAAATACACTTTGTTTCTTTAGTTTTCCAGGGTGCCACAATATGTTATCTCCTCTCTTCTTTTCTAATTTTGTCTTTGTCAAATAATTGGATGCTAATTGCTGAGGAAGAGAAGCTCGTTTTGCTAATATTCACTATTAGCAGTTACAAGGAGATTATAAAATAAATACACATTTTTCTGTTCTTACAGAAAGCTGGTAAGGAAAAATCTAATTAAAGAGGTCCTAAATCAACCAGTAATGAAAAGCAGGCACACTAAAATAAATACCCTCACTACGAGTGCATTAATTATGCATAATTCTATTGTTCACATTTCCACGGAAGCTCCCRTGGGATCTGAACCAGCAAACACCATTTTGGGGTGACACTAGCATGGCACTGTCCCCATGGTGAATATGTATATATGTATATATGCATACATGTGTGTTCCCTCAAGAAGCAATGGGGACCATGCATTGCCCAAGCATCAGGCAGAGACATGGTTACCAATGGGAAGGGAAGGCGATTTTTCAACTTTGGTCAAATAAATAACACACAAATTAAAAATAAATAAATAAATAAATAAATAAATAAATAGATAAAGAAAGAATGAGTGGCTGAAAGAAACTTGCTCCACTGTTTGACCATGTCATGGCAACCTCTGACTGCTTGCTGCTTGTGCTTGTCTCCTGGTCTCTTCAGAATGGTTTGGAGATCAGCGTGGAGCACCGGGGCTACGCTGACCCCAATAACTTGCTGTTTGAGGATGTCAAGGTGCTGGGGCTGAGCACAGCAGTGCAGCAGGTGACGGTGGTGCAGAACGGGGAGGTCATCGCCTCTGGGCACAATGCCATCTACAATGGCACRAGCCAGGTGAGCAGAGCTCTGCACATCCCATCCCACACACAGGAGATCCCAGGAGAAAGTGTGTCATGATGGAAGGGACACTGCAAAGGCAGATGCTCAAGGGAGGTTACAATCAAGAGCTTGTGTGTGCATTTCAGTGTAGAAACACGTTTACGGTTGGACTTGATGATCTTGAAGGTCKTTTCCTATCATAATGATTCTACGAGTCTTAAGTATGGAAGAGCCCAAACCTTCCCTGGTCATGAAGAACGGGTGGGTTTTGTTTCTTGCTTGGTGCTGCCAGCTTGTTGATGGAATCATCTCACCTGCCTCTGGGATCTTATGACCCTTTCTATAAAAGTCAGTTTTCCAAATGCACAGCTGAATTAAAACATCTTCCACATTTTAACTATTTATTTATTTATATATTTAATAAAAGGAAACTCTGCTCTAAAAGGGCCTCTGAATTTAAAGGAAGGGAAGGTACCAGAGCATCATGATCTGTAATCCAAAATCTGTTAAACTTAACTTCACAGAGGTATCATTCTAGAGGAACACATTCTTTTAGTTTGAGAATCCACTATATTTGCTAGCAAGTGTAGAAAAGCAGTGTGTTGGGATGTACAGAGTTGTTCACAGCTTCTTTATTTGCTTTTTTCCCAAGGTCCTGTCAATCACCAATCTTCAGCTTGCATTAGGCGAGGACTACACACTGCACTGGAGCTAAAATGCTGCGAGATGATGTCAGCCACATCTCTGCATTTTTTTCATTGTTTTTAGAACCATTTTTCAATTTTCGTATTGTTYCTTTGACATACTAAAGTACTTTTTATTGTAAAAAACTTTAGCCATAGTCAGTTCATATTAAAGTATTGTGCTAAAARGGGAAAAGTCATGTTTTAGTATTGTTCAAGGCTAACTACAAGATCTCCATGGGATGCAGAATTTGCGTTTTATGACGCTTCAATATGACTTCATCTGTCAAAACTAAAAACTGAATGCCAAACACTGTTTTCCCGAAGTTCTGGATGCCTTCATGATCATTAAATTTTATATATATAAAAAAAAAAGTTACACTTGTCATTTACTGCTTGTGTTTGGGGATATAATTCTACCCATATATATTTAGCTTCCATCTTATTTTAATTGTGCCATATAAACCACTACTACTAAGAAGTATTTAAGGTCAGACAAATGGGAGTGTTTTCAGATAGGTGATTTAGCATAAAGTACTTTTGCGTTGATCTATACAACACAAAGTTACTTGCAAAAGTCACTTGAATTTTTTTGTATGGCCTTAGTAGGTATTTGTGTTCTCTGATATTTTGCTCTGATGTTGTAAAATTAGACTTGAAGTTTCAAGGTTAATAAATTTGAGGCTCCAAGTTTTTAATTTTAGTGAAGGAAATACTGTTATATGCTTAGTATAATAGTAAATCATGTTAAAGTTTTTTTTTGTATCCCAAGAGAGCAGCAGACGATCCAAACAGCTTGGTAAAGCATATTTTCAATTAAATTTGATGGGAAMAACCTCCTGTCAGAAGTAGTAGTAATCTCTAGTGACTGTGCTTAAAAACCATTTAAATGTTTCCTCTCCGCTTTAAAATTTTATAGTAAAACAGTTAAGTAGCCAACATCTCATAGATGGCTCACTCTAATTATAGGGCAGAATTTATTAAAACCGCATAGCAAAGTCAGGACGTACAGATTACTGAGATGGTTGGCCCTCCTTTATGTTATGTCCTATCCCCTTGTGCCCACCTGATGGTAGCAGGAAATATTTAGCAAAGCTGAAAGCTTCCAGGGGCTTTTTTATTATTATTTTATTATTTTATTATTTTATTATTTTATTTATTTATTCTTTTTTTTTTTTCTTTTTTAAATGTAGTTTAATTTGAGGGAAGTCATCATTCCATTATCTTGGTGTTGTTGTGTCACAAAGCTCAGCACATTGGTGATCTAGGCTCATTTCGACCACATAAGAAGGTTTCTGATGAATCCTCAATTTAATAATTCATGAAGAAGTCATTCAGGCTCTGAAGCTGTGATTGCTTAAACATGCATGCTCCACCCTGCAGCTCTTCAAAAATGCCCCTAAAATGAGCATCCCTCCTCATAGTTTTCACCACCACAAGGAGTTCAGCAGAGCATGGTCTACAGCTTCCTCCTTATATATTTATGCAACATGATCATCCTTGGCTGGAGAGAAAGGAAGTTGCATGCTGAACTAGCTGACATTCTTCTCAGGTGGAGTGATATTTCTCTACGCAGCTCTTCTCTTTGGGTCAGATCCTGACGTGTTGTATAGCATCTCACTCTGCGAGAAGTCCCATTAAAGTTCAATGAGCCTTGTTGAGCAGTGAGATAGCTTTCAGCAGAGTTAAATGAGCAGCAAAATAACATACTACATGTGTTCAGGATGTGATCTTGCGAGGGTCTTATTTCAGCCATATCAAAAACATCTGTTTCTGGAACATACAAGATCACTTTTGCTCCTGGTAAAGGCTGTTCCTCTTCTCCATGGCATCATTTTTTCCCTCATCCTTATATTTCAGTCACAGAGTAAGCCGAAAATGAGCAGATTTCAAGTCCTCAGTAAAAAAAAGTAAATATGTCCTTTTTCAATACAGACCTATTTTTCCTACACTTCATAGAACTCCTGTTACATGGTGTCTTGGCTCTCACAACTGGTCAAGCTGAGACCAGTGAGCACAAGGAAGTGACCTTGTTCCAGCTTTTTGTTCCAAGTTCCCAAGGGAAAGTCTWTACCATTTCTTCTTATCTTGACCTCTCTATTGTGAGGCTGATAAGCCAGTCTGACAACACTGTACTTGTTTATTCTTCTCACTGAAAGGCCACACAAACTGATGCTTTAGCCAAGCTCCGCTGTCAAACAGAACTTCCTGATGATCTCCTATTTGCACACAGATAACACTGGAACAGTTGGTACTTCTCAGAAAGCTGTGGTATGAGAGCAAAAACTGAACAAATTTGTAACAGGTCGTCTCCATGCCAGAGAGCACGTCTATACACAGACCTTAATGGACTACAAGGTTGGCTGTGCATGACAGGGAGGAAACTGTAGGAGTTTTCTTTCTTTTTTTTTCATTTTTAAGCTAGGATTTAAAAACTAATCACTGACTCCTTTATTCAGTTTAAACAAAAATATGTTTTTCTTTTCAACAATCTAAAACTGACTTCAGAATGATTGCTTACTCAAGACTCATTACAGAGATCACCAAAGGTCTATCAAGTTTTCAGCATAACGGTCTGGTGTGGGTGTACATTTACATTCTGGATTTTGAAAGATATTTTGACTTCTTTTCTATGTTTTTTTTCACTCTTCCTTTTTAATTGGTTTAACTAGCATGCATAGCATCCCATGACAGGAGGTCAGCAACACAATTACTCCATGTGAAGCAGCTGGACACCCACCTCCTCCTTTTCCATTCAGTGCCACTTAGTTCTCATGTTGAACAGAAGCAGATCTATTAGTGCATTAGTTTTATGATAAGAAAAATAATCTGCCTTGTTTTCATTGTTGTTTTTCTTCATTAGTTAAGAAGAGAAAATGAAATAACAGAATTAAAGTCCTCTGTGTTGGTCCCCATGTGTAGCCATGCTCCTGTGACGGTTCATCTACGAGAGAAGAACACTAAACAACAGCAGCTGATAAACAAGAACTGTTTCTGTTTAAGCAGAAGAGCCATAAATCTTCTCCACCTCAGCAAGGTGAATGTGTTGGCATTAATAAGCCATCATACCACATAGAAAAGTAATGCAGTAGTAGGTAGAAATCGTATGGAGTTAATAGTCCCTATATTGGTTAACAAGGAATAATGCTCTTCCTATCGTTTCTGCCAGCATATCAAATTCTTAATATCATTCTCTGGATAGTCTGACTTTCTAACCTTTAGAAAAAAATATCYATTTTAGATAAAATAGCACAGTGAGCCCCAGAGATTGGGTGCAATTCAGCTGCCAGCACCAGTTTCCACTGCAGAAATTCTCATGGAAGACACAGCATTTTCCTGTAGAGATATTAAGTTCTGCTTTCAATATTTTCCTACACTAAATGCTGCTTTGGTCACACTTTACAAGTAAGCTGAGAGAAAACAGTACTTACTATACTATACTATGCCATACTATACAATTCATTTGATACATTAAATTTTTTTGCTAGCTTATTCCTAGCATTAAAATACCAGAGTTACACTATGAATAGCATATGAGAACCAAATTTTAATTACCAATAGAGACACAATGATTGACCAAAAAAAAAAAAAAAAAAAAAAAAAAGCAAACGTCTGGAAATTAGGACGGCATAAAAATACCACTCCACATACATCCCATTTTTAACTGCCACCAAGCTTTGTCAGAGATAGGCTATAGGAGGCTCTCTGATCTGACCCAATAACTAGTTTTAGGTTATTGTGTAGGTCATTTGCATGGATGGACAACACAAAAGGTCATTTATTAAGGAGACTTTTTGTATTTTTAATTATTTTAAAAAACAGTCTTAATTGTACATGTAAACTCTATGTTCAGCAGATTTCTTGGGGCCTGATACACAGCTGAAATTGGCCTTTAATAGAACAGATATATAGCTAGATATTTAATTTCATCCTTAGTAAATGAGATTCCTGCTATAAAGACTTTACTTTCCATAGCCTTAGAGGGATTTGTCCACAGAGAGATGAGAGAGCAATCATCAGAGTCCAAGAGGGCCTTGTGAGCAGAGTTACGATATTTTTTTTTTAAAAAAAGTACAAGTTTTCACTCATCCCAGGGCCACTCCAGACCTCACTGACATTGGTTTCTGACAGCTCCACTTGGCTCTGGCCTGACTCCTAAAACATTAGGTCTGTTTTTTAATCCTTCTGCCTCACACCTCTGGCAAGGGTCCCAGGATGGGTAAGCTCCATTTACCAGAGCAAAAATGGCCTTTGAATCTGTTGTTGCAGACCAAAAGCACAGCTTGGAGATTAAATCAGGCTCCAGTAACAGTTTAATGGACTTGGTAAAACTGTCTCTCTTAGTTGTGTGCTGGAAGGTGTGGAGCTGCTTCACACCAAACAGAAACTTTGCACTTGAAGCTTTAACCTTGGCATGCAAGGAACTCAGCAAGCTGCTTGTGCACAATTTGAGTAGAACAGCTAGGTATAGTTTTCACAGTGGTCTAGTATTACATGTATAAACCATGAAGTCAGGGTGGTAAATAAGAAAATGTGGACATACAAGCTAGCCTGCCAAATTGAAAGGAAGATTAAAAATAATAGAGAAAAAAGGTCAATGAATTCCATCACAGCATTCTGCTTTAATCAGTGTTTTTGGTTGCACACCTAGTGCTTGCCCTTAGAAGGGATTAAGAAGGTATACATAGGCCCTCAAATACAAAACCTGTGGATTTCTCATGCTGTTCACATGGCCTTGTCTCCTTTTTCCCTGGGTAGCAGATTTTTTTTTTTTCCAGCAGACCTTCATACATGTAAGTATGTACGTGGCTGGTGTCATCACCATAACTTTGGTTTTAGGRAAGTGTTAAAAACCCATCGACTGAAGCTACAGAGAGGGGTTGCCTCCATCCCTGATTATTTTTTTTTCTGTATCTCTCCATTTCACAATTGAAATACTTTGTAAAAAGTGATGTTCTATCTCCTACACAAATATTCTTATATTTATGTATTTCCTATTACTCTCCGTGCACATTAAAGGCGGATGTGGAATCATTATACCCATTCAGACTCTCGCTAATGGCTAATGGGCAGAGACCTGAGCCGATGTGAGCTAGACAGGATGGGGACAGTTTCCAAAATCCATTACTGGCGCTATGCAATTTAATGGCATGCGCCTTGGAATCGAATACAGTAGAAAGAGAAAGAGAGAGAGAGAAAAAAGAAAACTTAGCAAAGTACAGCAATTGCACTTAAAAATTAATAGTGCTGCTGCAGTTCTCTGTAGATTTAGCTGCTTTTCATGGCTCAAAAGACCATGGCTCTGGTGAATGTCCTACATTTGG